TGGTGCTGAGAACTGGAAAAACAGAGCTGGCTAAACATAGTTGGGAGTCAAGCTGATGTTGAAGGGAATTGCTCACCTCTGGAATAAGCATAGCGACATCAAAGTACTTGTGCAGCAGAGTAATTAAGCTCTGGTTGGTTTTTATAGACTGGGTTTTTAGGAGGATTTCATGTGCATGAGGCAGCATCACCCCCAATCCTGGGGTACCACCCAGCGCAGGGTTTTTCCAAGCTGGTCCAAGAGGAGCAGAGCCTCCACAGCGTAGCAGAAATCCTGGCCCCACTGAAGCCAGTTAAGCCTCCACTGATTTGATCAGGACCAGGATTTTATGTCACCTGCTATGTCCATGTGAAAAAGAGAAAGGCCTCCACTCTCCTACTTTCATTTTTTCTCTGCGTCAGTCAGATCTGCCTTATTTATTGCTACAACCCCCAGTTTTGGAAGGGAACACACACACACAGGTGCACACACGCCCTTTCTCCAGGCCACAGCGTATTTTCCAGCTTAGCCGGTTATCCGCAGACATGCAAAGATTTAAGCAGCCAACCCCAATGCCAGTAGTGAGGACGCCGTGGACCCATCTCCTGCAACGGCTGCAGGGGAACAGGGAGGGACGGGGACACCACGGCCCCTGCACATGCCAAGAGCCCTCACGCCAACAGCCTGACCTTTACAAAAATTGCTGTCCTCGTTAAAAACCACGTTACAAAGTGACATTGCTTCCCCTTTCTAATATGAAGGGTTACATAGGTGTTTTAAATGCTAATTTGGCGCTTTCTGAAATACCTGGTGACCCATGGCCATCTCCTATCGCTTACATTTACTACTTTTGGCCTATCAGCCTGGGTAGCCAGCTCGGAGTAAAACCCTTTCCAGCTCTTCAGATGATTTTCACTATCACTCACTCAGGATATTAAGATTCTCAATGCGTGTATCTGGTTTCCAATAGTACAAGCTGCTTCTTAAAGGTTATAGTTTGTTTTAAATAGCATAGCCATCTGTCCGCCGGTGGCTGATGGGAGCTGGAGGAATCAAAGCAGCCAAAACAGCATTTTTCAAACTGTCAGTTTTTCATTACAAACATTTCAGTTTGAATAAAACCAATGTCCTAAAAAATAAATAAATAAGTCTATGTATTTTTCTTGTGTATTATACAAACACTGTGAGTCTTGCTTTAACAGTTCCATTGCCTCGCTGGAATTCCATCCATGCAAATATCTGGCCTGAACTTCACCAGCTCCAGGCACTTTACAAACCACAGAATCATCATTTGTGTGCTTCTAGTCTTTGAACTAAAAAAAATGCTCATTTATTACAGGTAGCCACAACGCATAGAACCAGTGCACAGCATTAAGAAAACGTTTTTGTGCACATATCGAAGTCAGGCACATGGACCTGCATTTATTTTTTTACCCAGCTCCTAAAGGTCAGCTAAAGCTCCGAGTTAACATTTTCTACAAAGTTAAATCAATTTATTCACTTAATTCTCAGGACTCACTTTCTTAATTTGACATTATTTTTGAGGGAAGGGGGTTTAGAGCACACAGGCTGGCCATATGCAGCAGCTGTTACCAGCAGAATTGCTAATACCTTCCTGGCAAAATAAAAATATACAAGAAGCAACCAGTTTCCCTAGGTAAACGCTGCTCCTCATCAGAGAGCCAAGTATGGCCTCGCTGGCACCATCTACCCCCCAGTGAAATGCCGATGGTTGCCCTAGGACTGCCTTGGAAAAGCCCACATTACAAACTATTGCCTAGGAGCATCCAAGGAGACAAGACAGACGACAAATATATATTAATCAGAACAACATACCAAAGTTTATTGATTACTTCAAACAAAAGTTTCTGTAATGAAAAAAGAGCAAGTTGCATTCATAAAAGGTAACATTCACATTCAATTTCCTTTATATAAAGCAACGTAAATGTATAAAATTGCATTTAAGTGAAAAAATGTAAGGTTGCAGTCCTTTCTCTTTGCAAGAAGCTGAAAATGTATTTTGTCATTACCTGTATATAATTTACACTTTCTATATACTACATGGATTTAAAAAATAATCCATAGCTGGGAAATTGGATAAATGGTGCAGTATTAGGTAAGTTTTTCCAACTGTGTGTATACAAATTCAATTTTAAGCTTTTATTCAATTCCAAGTCATTTATAATACTCGTAACAATTAGGATTAGTTTTTGAAAAGTAGCTATGAATACACCAAGTTCCTCCATTATCAACAGTTTTAGAGGAAATCTTAATTGCTTTTCTTATCTTTCAGCGTCACTAGCCAGTGATTAAACTTCAACGAATTATTAGGAAAAAAACCCAGCCTTTTTTCCTTCAAGTTTGTCCACCGATGAGCCTGTACTGACCCTTTAGCTCATTAATGAGCACTGTAACAGTGCAGCCTGTATTATAGTACACGAACAACAACCACAGCATCGCTGCTGGATTATGGCCACTTCAGCATCCTGCTGGCTTATACCTCACAATTACTATCACCACTTTTTCTTCCCTTCTCTAACCCCCAAAGGGGTCCCCTGCTTCCCCTGATTTCACAAGTCATCCACAGCAACAGGAATTTCACTTCTTCACAATTGCTGAATGACAAGGATCAGCTCTTCTGCAGGTCCAGGGCAGCCCGGCTGTCCTGGCATCCTTGGCACTTCACCTGGGCACTAGCTGAAAATCCAAGCCTAAGAAAACCTGCATTTTCCCCAAAAGAGCTGCTATTCAAGATATTTCACATTAATTCCAACCCGCTTTTCAGCATGTGTGCCTCGGGTTTGAACATACAGCTATTGCAATGGCTTGCTCCATCCTGAGACAGGACACTTGGAAACGGGAAGAGAAAGATTTGGTTCTTAGAAGGCTCAGTCTTAAATTAGGCCGCAGAAATTAGCCCGTTTAAGTGGCTTTATTCAGACAGTTCACACATACATGGCAAGCTTTGCTCTGTTCCCGCTAACATCACCAGCAAAACCTCCAGTTGAATTTCACGGAAACAGACTTTGACCCTACGAGTAGAGTATGACACAAAACAAACAGAGAAGCAAGGTGTCAGGCTTGGGACCATTCGGGCTTGGAATGGTTTTGAATCACAGGAATTAGGCATTTCAGCGCCCACAGTTTAAAGGTTATGTAAACACAAGTCAGCAACTGTATATTTAAGAAGAAAGGTTAGATTTGGCATATAGAGTGTATCTTCATTGTATTCATCGCATACATGATCTGTAGGCACCACATTTTAGCAAGAAAAGTTGAGAATGGGACAAGGTCTGCAAGTCGAATTCTAGGTCTGTGAAATGAACCAGGAAAAGGAAAAAAAAGAAGAAAAGAAGCTTTAAAAGCTTTGCCCATGGGACACATGCCGGAAGTGCAGCTCCTTACTTGCATGCAGCAGGAGTCGAGCCGCGGTTGCTAACGAACACCACTAGCGTTGAGGCCAGTGCAGCGTGTATAATACAGTGGTCCTGTCCATATGTCCCCTCCCACACTGGGTGACACAAGAGCAGCCACGGGCATAGGGACTGTGCACACCCCTTTTTCACTCAGGTAAAGCCTATTACAAAGTCCTTATGATGCACGCTGGAATTTGCCTGCAGCCGATCCACATCCTGCTTCCATAAGTCAAAGACCACTCAGGGGTGCAGCCAGAGAGCAAGACTTCATTCTTCTGAAACTAAATAGTCCGCCATTAGCAAAATTTCATGACAGGAATGTTCCATCTAGTCCCAAAGTGTTGTTTCTTTACATGTAAGTGACAAGGCTCAAGCGTGGAGCTTGTTACTTCTGAAATGAGACTGGAACGCTTCTCACAGTAGTTCCTCTGCACTGCTCTGCAGAGCACCGGGGCCAGGGGCAGTCAGCACGAGGGGGGACCTTCACACCAAACGGTGGTGGCACGCAGGGTGCTCCATCACTGCTTGTGACTTGATGCAACAAGAAAGCTGCTTTTTCCACATATGAAGTATCAGAGAAAAGAAAAAAAATCAAGTCAGGCATCTCACCTCTGCTGTGCACAACCTAAAGAGAAAAGTTCCCATGACCATGGCACAGGTAGATTTAAAAAGAACATGCCAAGTTAAAAAACAAATAAAGTGTAAAATGAAATCAGGTTCATGTATTCCTTTCATTTTTAAACCGGCTTCTTTTTTTCTTAGTGCAAATAACTCAAGATGCAGTTTTATATGCCTGCAGGTTTACGGGCACATGCCATGTCCCTGGGATCACCCGAGGACTGCACTGTCACTCCTGCCTTTAAAGTGTTGAAGCAACTGCACAGTGCAGTAACGTAAGCACAACCACAGCAGCCTGGGCGAAACGGCTGAAAGTCTGGCACAGCCCAACTTTTGAGATTCTATCCTCCCCCATGAAAGCTTCCTTCCACCACGAACAGCCACAACACGAAGGAAAATGACCTTTTCTTCACCCTCCATCAGGAATAAACCCATCAGCAATAAACTGGCTGCGGGAGGATGCTCAGGCACTTCCCAGCACCATGGGATTCCACACGGATACTTCCGCTGCGGATGGACCACAGCCCGCTTCCAGCCGTACCCGGAGGGGACTGAACGCTTTGCACCGTTGGCGAAGATTTCTCCCGAATTTTCAAGTATTTCTGCCCCGTGCATCTGGCAACCCACTGCTGGGAGGGGGCAACACCCCGCTGAGGGGTCACAGCCCCAGCACCAGGTGAGAGGCTCGCAGGGCTGCATCCAGCTTCTGCATGAGAGGAGCAGGCTTTCCCCGGCGCCTTCGGGGAGCTGGAGGGGGCTGTTATTGGGTTTAAAGTCTGTGCTACTTCTTTGGTCAGGCACAGCAAGAGACTTCAGCAGCTCTCTGCTGCTCTTGGGCAGATCTGCAGCAGGCAGAGGAAGCCCCCGTGTGAAATGGGGCTGGCATTGCTCTCTTGCGCTTCAATTCATGCTGTTTTGGATTAACTCCTAAAGATGCTTTCCCAGCCTCCGATGATGTAGAATTTGACAGAATTTTTTTTTTTGGGGGGGTGGGGAAGCCACAAGCCCAAAGACAAGCGAGTACTGTGGGGCCAGTGTCCTGGCTACTGCTTTATCAGCATGGCTGCTTACTGTACTTGGCAATATTAAAGAGAACTGTTAGGTTAAAACCATGGTTTTTTCCTACAGCATGACAATATGCAGTGTTTGTATGGAGCACTTTAAAGTATCCTGAGAGGATATCTTTCTGCCAAATTAGTAACAGCATCTTCAGTCTTCACATAACCATTCTCTATACGTTTGTATGAGATTAACATAGGCAGATCAAAGGGGCCGGTCTGCAAAAATCAGAGGGAAAATGCTCATGTATTGCAATTGTTATTCCCAAACTCATAAAGCTTTTTTTCTCTATTTTTTAAAAAAATACTTAACATTTTATAGGAGAAGAAGAATAATTAGACCATGATAAAAGTGCCAAATTTCATTCACAACCAAGGAACAAATCAGAAGATGGTAAATTAATTTGCACAATCTGCAAAATGCCATATAAAATCTAGAAGTGGCATCTGCCTTGCTGTCCCCTGCGGCTCCCACTCTGCCCCAGTCCAGCCACCTCCCACACCAGTCTGAACCAGTATATGGTAGCGGAGAGCACCACCTAACGTCTGCAGGGAAGGAACGGCCGCTCAGCTCAACAGCAATGCCCAGGCAAGCAGAAACCTGGATTTATGCCAGATACGCTGGAGGTCTGGCAAGCCTGGCTGCTGGACCTGCCATTCTGATTAAACTGATTTCTTCAGAAGGAGGTGTGGGTACAAAGGTAGGAGAGATTTGCAGAAAACTTGCAGTTTTATGTTTGCAGTGGACACCACACAGCTATGTAACATCTCACTAAAAGTAAATTTGTGAATTCAATTGGGCACTTTTACTTTTTTACTCTGCTATCAGCCTACTATGTTGTTTAAAATCAAGTACACTTGCACTAGGACGCTCTCTGTGTGTGTACACACATACAGACACGGAGATATGCCTGCCGTACCGTATGCTGACACACACAGACAAGTATACACGTTTAGTTTCAATCTACGCAGACAAATTAAAATGAACTTATTTCTATCTGACAGAACAGCATGCACCCTAGAAAAAGGGATTTTGGTACAATTCAGATGCAATACCGGAATCATTTTAATAGCTGAGATTTGAATACTTCACTGTAAATACATCAGTGTTAGCTTTTAGAACCACTGTTAGCATGATCACTGACTGCATTCTCAGGTTAAATTTTCTGTTAATATTAGATTAAAATATCAGTGATATTGAAAGATTTGTTTGCATACTTCAAAATATTTCTGTTTGAGAGGATCTGTACACGTATGGGATTCTGAAGGGGTTGGATAGGACGATGGCTCCATATTAAAATGCATCCCAAGCATTGCATCTCCATTCCACAAGGACAGGTGCCCCGCACCGATAGTCAAGAGGATTACAAGAACCTTAGTTTATTTGATTTGGTTAATGGATGCCTTTTAAAACCATCCCAACTCTTTCCATCAGGGTACCTGTTACAACACATTAGACTCATCTGAGAACGTTCTTAAAAGAAGTGGTCTGATAGAAGGTCTGGCCGACAATGAATCAGGTGCCTTCCTGCTGCTCTGCAACAGCGAGGCAAAGAGACTTATAGCACACGCGACACTTGCCCCTGCCTAATGGTCGAACAATGTAAGACAGACATGCATCTTTTACAGCTAACCTAGATCATAAAGGATGTAGCAATACACACTCCCTAAATACAACCATGATTAATCCTGGCTGGGTTTTGCAGTGCAAGAGGCACAGGGGGTATTCAGAAACTAGCCCTGCTTCCTGAACTGGTTAACTTCAGGCTTGGGGATTTATGCTGCAAGTGCTTCTGAGGGAGGAGGAAATCATCCTCGATCTCCTCATGACTGTTATTTTTAAAATAGCAAGTAACACCGGAGATCTGCAGTGAAACCAAACACTAGGGACATGTTTTCAAGGCGCTTTGCTGTGGGGTAGCCTCGCCATCCCCACAGTCAGCAAGTCCAAAACTACCCCTTGCTGAGAGGGCTGAGCACAGTGGCTTATTCACTTGTACAAACAGTAACGGTAGCGCTAACAAGTGGGACGGACTAGGCGAGACGGGCACTTGGGGAGCTCCTCCTAGACCAAAAAAGCCTGAGCTGTGTTCTCTGGATGACTTGGCAAAATCAAAATTGAGTCCACATTATCCCACACTTTAGAGAAGTTTTTATCTAGTCCACTAACACACAAAGCTACAGCGGGGAAGGAGAGTGTAACTAGCATCAGCCGTGTCCACCCCACTCGGACATCCTGAGCACAACCAGCTCACCCCCCTGAGGTGCAGCAGGAGACTAAAGAGGAAGAGACAGATGAAATATTTAAGCAAGAGATTTAAATTAAAGCAAGAGGAGAGGAACAAAGCCAGGGTTTTGCTGGGTGAACAAATCTAAACAGGCGTTTTCAGGAGTTATGCATTCGAAGGAGAAAAAAAGCAGTAGAGCAAGCAACAAATAGTGACTCAGAAAGGAAATCACCTTATTCACTCCAAGAAAAGCTGTGATTGCTGGAAGTTTGAGAAAGCATGAAGATAGTGGATGTTCCTGAGGAAGGAAGGCGCTTCGTTACCTAGTTCACAACAGCACAAAAGACAGAAACTTGCAGTACAAGAAAGAGAAAGGCAGAAACCAAGGAAAACACAAATGTGCCTTGCAGTTAAAAAAAAAACCAAACAAACACCAAACCAAAACATTTCCACACAGAAAACTGAATAAAGACTAAGCAGAGCTGATGTATCGTGTTATAGGGAACTCAGGGGTGAAACCCGGTCCCATTGAAGTCACGGGCAAACCCCCATTGACCTGGCCTCAGTCCATCCTCCCCTCCCAGAGCGGACCCTCAGCTGTCAAGCTGGGGGTTCAAGCATCTGAATAACATCTCTACTCTCATTTTTCATGTAATTTTCCCATGAGGAAACTGATGTTTATTTTTTTCAAATGTTAAGGTCAGGATTTTCAAAAAGGGTCTTCATTTGAAATCACCCACCTGGTCTTACATGACTTTACAAATTAGGTGACTGACTTTGGTGCCTGACTGCTGACACTGACATCTAGAGCTGATATCTGCTTCAGGCATTGTATAAAGCTCTTACTCAAAATGTACATTTAAATATGGCTCAGCCTGTGTTTAGTTTGGGCTGCACACATATAGAGACTTTTCTAGTTGACACTTTGCTTTGCTAAATGATTTCACAAGAGCCTTTTTTATAACACACAAAAAGCACTCTTGAAAGCAAGTATTGCACAGGGGAATGGATCTGCTGGCCAACAACTGAAGGCAAAAATGGGTCACTTCTCAGGTGAGTTGAGCTGGGGCTCAGAAACTCCCAGGTCACTGTCCTTGAACTATACTATGTCCACAGCTGAGAGCAACTCACTCCCAGCCTATTCAATAGGGGTGTCAAGCTACAAACTATTAAATCATACTTAACTGGAAGAAATTACATGGAGCTTCAAAGAATTCAACCATATTTCTTTTACCTACTGCTTTCAACTTTAATAGTTGGGGGGTTCATCTTCCAGATACATGTTTTACTTCATTTCATACTGTGCCAGACTTGTACTTCAAATGTTATGGGAGAGGAAAACATTTACTTAATTAGAAATCTATATTTTTTTTTTTTTTACTGAGATAATAATGATTTTTAAGTAAAGACCAAAGATAACAAGTTATCCCAGGGGAGGAAAGTGCACTGAAACCTCATGCAATATAAGAGCTTAAAGGAGAGAAGCCTGTTTTGAATCTCAGTATTTGGAAGCTCAAACCACAGTTTCCTGGGGGCACAGTCAGACCAGCTGGGCACCAGTCTGCCAGTACCACAGTGCTAGTCTGCGGCATGGCTGGCAGGGCAGAAGCCACCTCTGCACACTGCCACCTCTGCGCTAGCCAAATCCTGCAGCCCAGCAGAGTGATGGCTGGCTCCAGCCACCCGCTGGGGAGCCCAACCCCAGGCTGCCAGCATCTGCTGGGTGTTGGCAGGGGGTGACCCCACACCAGCAGGGCTGGCCCGTTTCCCTTTGGCTATGCCCTACCACTGCCTAAGCACATGGAAACCTGATGGCAAGAGGCCAGGGCCACCGGCAATACGCAGTGTGCTGACCCCAGGCAGGACTTGCTGATGTTGCAGGGGGAAAGAGAGGGGCTGCAGGAGGGAGGGGAGGCGCAGGGAGCAGCGGAGACGCAGCCGGGGTGACAGTGCTGTGGGGATGTTTGGCACCCCTGGGCAAGCAGAGAGCAAGGGGCGCGGGGGGTCTCAGCACAGTGAGAGTTGTGAGCCTGGCAGTGCTGGCATTCACCGCTTGCAGAAGTGACAAAGAAAACTTTCAGGAGATGGTTTACACTTCCAAAACGAGCCCTCCTCTTCAGCAGCTGAGGAAAACTGTTAAGGAACCAAGCCACTTTTGAGAAGGGCTAGACACTGCAGGCTAATGCCACAGTATGAGCCCTTGGTTAAGTGAGGGTGGGCACATGGGGCAAGCCCTGCCCCTGTTCCCCCTGCACTAGCAGCTGAGGACATACCCAAGTGGAACATCGTGAGTGTGTTCTTTGACATAAAAACAAATAGCTTTTTTTCAGGACACAATATGGTGGGTTTGATGATCAGTTCAGGTTGGAAAGGGGTTAATGTACTTTTGTAAGAGATGGCAGGTTTCCATCCAGTAAAAACAACTAAGGAAAGGCACGGGCTGAGTCTTTCCTTGCTACCAATCTAGGCAGTATTTTTAGATGAGCTTCTTGATATTTCTGGCATGTGAAAGAGCAAGATGAGACTCTAGAAAGTGTTCCTCGAGACGTGAGTGGTATACAGCACTCTTACAGGTTCATCTAGTGCTTAAAAGTAAGAGATGCCTAAAAATACTGTGCGATAGATCATCTTGTTCCTTACCTGATGACTCTTCTCTTTTATATTTTTTAAAACTATTAGAAGAATTTCTGGGAAAAGGCTGATAAAGATCAGGAGAATTATTGCCAGCCAAGTGGAAACAGAAGTCAGCATATGGGCAAATACAAAATACATTCTTTGCTGCTTCAAGAAAGGCCTGAAAAAGAAAGGATACAAATAAATTCTGGTTAACACAAATTCCCCAAAAAGGTCAGAATCAAAGACAGACTCAGATCAAACTATTAGCAGCAATGCCTCCCTTTCAGATGGAGATGGATACAGCCTGCACAGAAACAGTGTCCATCCTTCTGCCAATGCACCTCCTGCCTTCAATTGCGCTAGTTCTGGAGGACTGTCCTGTCACCTTACATCATGTATTTTGCATCTTCCACATCTGTTTCATTTTGGGATGGGGAGGGGTTTGAATTTTGCTACTATCAATGAAAGATGAATTATTCACCTTTTCAAAAACCAGATAATTTCATTTCAGTTTTGGACTTTACTATAGCTTCTGGTTTGTATTTGCAGTGGAAATCCATAGACTCTCAGTCCTAACAGGTTATTTGCCTCTTCCTCCCTGCCTTGATGACGGAGGGGAAGTGACAGAATCTTGTGAAAAATGCTTCGTAACCAACTGGTGACAAGGATCCCAAAGCAGTTGTCACTTAGTGTCTGGCTAGATCATGGATCTGAATCTCCTGGTTAGGAACGCTGAAGAGTTAAACAAAGTTCGTGACCCCAAATTAAAATATTTGTTCCACATCTTTATCAGCAGGCTGCTGGGTCAAGGATCTAGCCAATAGCCCATGGCATTATCTCACAGGAAAGCAAAGGTGGAAAATGGGAGATACTGTGAATGTCAACATGAACATCTACTCCAGCACAGGAAATAGAAAATGAATAATATGAGCTAGACTATTGCTTGCCTGGTTTTGCAAAATCCTGGTTGCACTCAAATCAGTAAGATTTTCTTCTCCCACTCAGATCCAGGATTTCAGCAGCAGGATCTGCACCCTCTCCTGATTATTTCTCCCTCTTAAGCTGCCCCAGAGTGCCAGGTCCTCTCGCTCTGCATTTCCTCATCTGTTCTTTCCTTCCTTATCACTGAGTCTCCTTCCACCAACAATTTGTCCTTTCTTTCCCATCCACATGCACTAACAGATCCTGAAATATTTACCCTAGAACCTCCCAATGAAGACAAGGGCCTCAAGCACCATAAATGACCCTGTGGGGAGAAAAGCAAACTACCTCTTGCCAAAGCCAAGCACCTGGATGGTGATGAGGGCATTATCTCTTTCCAGGCTATCCCTTTGGTAGGCTGACAGACCTCCTTCAACACATGTCATCACGCAACAGCCCTCTTCCAGCCCTGGGTTTTAGCAGGTGTTGGATGGAGGTATCATCCCTTGCTGCCCCAGTAGAGAAAGGAGCATGGTTGCACACACCACGCCATCTGTCAATCTCCAGACAGCCCAAACAAGGGGATGCTGCAGCCACATCCCCTGCAAAGCCAGAGCTGGGCATTGCCCGAAGAAAGCACAATGGAAAGAAGAAAAGATACTTGCCAAATGACTCCTCCCCAAAAGAATGAGAAAAACACATAGAAGGCAAGGGAGCCCCAAATCACAAAGTGGTTCATCCACGTCCAGAATCGGGTATCTAACGCTAGCTGTGTGAATAAAAAAACAAGACAGAACAGGCATTAGATGCAGAGTGTATTTGACTGTATTCATATGAAATTTTAGACCAGTTTCCCAGTAAGGCTGCAGGTTCTCCAAACAGCTACCTCTCTGCATATGTGCACCAGGGAAAATATTTTCGATACCTACAGCTTGGCACAATGTCAACAGGGAAATAGTGAGTTTCTAATTGTAACTGACACTTTTTAATAGAATAAATTTGATGCAACCACTGATGCTACAGGAGAGGTTACAGGGAGTGTAATTGCCTCCTGCCACCACCTGCTGTCCTGAAGCAAACATAAAAGACCTTTTGTAGGGTTTTATGCAAACTGTTTGTTCTGGAAAGCTTTGTGAAACAAAGCAGATTTCCTATTATCATTAGACAGATGTGCTTTTGTGATCCCTCCAGTGCTTAGCCATGTCTGAAACAAGATGGACAAATCCAAGTTCTCTATTGCACCTCTCCTCTTGCTAGCACTGAACACCAAGGGGTGAAAGGATGGGGAAAAGTCAACCACAACCAACTGGAGTTCTCAGAAGAGGGCAAAAACCAGAAAAATAATTTAACCAAAACACAAACACTTATAGACCAGCACAGCCCAGGAATACAGGCCACAGACTACACAAAGGACAATGGTCAATAAGCAAGTTCTGCCTCTATGAAAGAAGGGAAGATTTAAGCATCATGGGAAACATATTCATAGAAGATTAATCTTCAATGCATTTACCATACAATTTTACAGCACGTACACGTGCATTGGAAAATGACTGCAATAAGTGTCTGAAAAAGGAAGATTCTAACCTTCAGAGTGACGGTGAACACCAGCACGGTGAAAACAATCGTCCCAAAGGTCCAGTTCCCAAAAACCTGAAAAACACATTACATTGCCACAGGTGTCTCGGTCCATCTCCTTGGAGAGGCACAGAAACAACGAGGACAGGGGTGCAAGCAGGGACTGGAGGGGAAGGACGGGATGGAGCAACTGCTATGGGGGATTGATGCTCGGAGAGGCGCCAGGTGCCCCGCACGACTCGCCGCCCGCTACGCTACCCTGTGCCATGCAGTGCCACACAGACAAGTGACCCAGAGTTGGGACAGTGACAGGCACAACCTCCTACTAACAGCAATGTCGATTGAGGATAGAAGTCATTGGACCACCTGTATTTCACGATTTCTTGGTATTTTACTCAGTTTCTGCTTTCTCGCAACACCTCTGCTCATCATCTCGTTTTAGTCCCATTTGCAGAATGCACCAATGGGTATTTTTCCATCTGGTTTGGTTTGTGGATACTAGTGACTACGCACAACAAAGAAAAGCAGATACTGTATATAAATCCAAATGATGGCAATGAATGGGAGGGATGCTTACCAAAGGCTGTCAAGATCTGAATGCATACATTAAAACAGAAAGTGAAATGTAAAAGTTTTCAAAAAATGCAAAAAAATTAAAGTCAATAGGAGCGAAAAAGGAGTCAATCAAACATACATGGATATTATGAACAATTGCTGGTAGCAGTTCTTACAGGCATAAGTGTTTACAAAACAGGACATCACCACAGATCTTATTTTAGTGCCACATAGACTTGGTCTCTGAGGGCATTTGCAGAACATATCAGTGCTTCGTGTTTTACCCAAATACAACCAGAATGGCTATAAACACAGAAAAGCACTGAATCTACAATACAGCAGCTTGACTACATATAGCTGGGGCCATAAACGTTGGCAACGATGCAACGTACGCATATACACACATAAATTTCATCCGCTTTTCTCCAAGTGTTAGCTGCTAAAAAACGAAGGTATTTTCAAGGGTCACAAGTGACGGTGTAAAGGAGTTTTCCATCAGCTGAGACCTGATAACACGCTGCATACCCCCTTGAGGAAAGGGTCCTGCCACCACGCTTGGCAGCTGCGCTGCACTAAAGCTTTGCTCTGTACTCAGTTAACCAGCAAAAAGAAAAAAAAAATTCCAGTCTTCTTTTCCCCCCCCGCCTTTCTGTGCGAGTTAACCCAGAGCAGCTCCCACACCTTTGCTCACGTGGCAATGCAAGAGCTTGTCCCGACACAAGAGGCAAGAGCAAGCAGACAGCAGGGAGAAGAACAGCCTGCTCATTCCGACAGCGGTGCTAACTTATGCTGGCTTTGAAACGGTAGCAAAACCCCAGCATCAGCCTTCCCTACTGTGAAGGGAGGAGGGCGGCTGAAATCACGCCCCGGAGCAGACGCAGCATGCAAGCAGCCCTGCGCATCTAATCAAGGTGGGCTACTCTACTTGCTTGTAACCTGATAAACATGTGCTGAATTTCATGTGGCACGCTGGTGGGAAGGATGGACACTGCTCCTGCCCTGGGCCAGTGCCTGGGACCATGCAGAAAAGTGGAAAAGCGCTGTGCAACTCTCACCAGGTTGGAATAAAGCTGTGTGTAAGACTAGTTATTTTACCTATCAAGTATAACCAGCTCTGCCCTGTTTCCATGGCGATCTGGAAAATGTTTTATTTCAAGCATTTGCTGCAGAATCACACCATAAGCAAGGCTACACCCTCAGACAAGACTCGAGACACACTGCACAGATTAAGCGTGTAGATATTCCCTGCCAAGCGTATAAAAGAGGCAGCGCACAAAAGAAACACTCATCTTTCTCTTTCTTTTTTTGGTGGCATTACCTTTCCGTTATCTTCCAACGATGAATTTTGAAAAAGAAAATAAACCCCAAAGAAAAACACGAGTCCTTCAAAGGCGCCCAGAAAGGTCCAGTACAGGAACGGCCTCCACTGCAGCATTGCATTATCTGAAACCTTCCTGCCAAGAGACAGAGTAACAAGAACATACCATCATGCTTAGGATGTGCTGCAAAGCCCCTTGCAGCCAGGTGGATCTGCGGGCTTTGGAGCAAGCCTTAGCTGCAAGAGACAAGGAGGTAACACACATAAGTATCTGCCAGCGTACAGGACAAACAACATTTGCCATATGCAGCTGCTGGTCATGAGAATCATAAGAGGTCCAGCATATTAATCGTTTTGTCCTCCTCCTCTAGGTAACTTGGATGAAAATCCAAGCCAGCTCAAAGAAACATCTGTAATGCTGTCCTGAGTCTCTCCTGCAGCCCCAATACTGCTTGTTGTATCTGACGTTAGCTGCTGAATTTTAAAACCAGGGCAATGCAAAAGAGCAGCTGTACGGGATGCAGCGAATCCGTGGTGTGTTTCCCTCTTTCTGTTGAAAGCTCAAACTTCCCCTTTGAGAAAAGCTTCACAAGTCCTGTTCCTGGAAGTGGTGTTTTGCTCCACAGGCTGAAAATAACCTCCCAAATTGTACAGTGGGTGTTTTTAGCATGCGTGTTGTAGCAGGAGGCTCGTGGCTGAATATAGGATGAGATATAGATTGCACAGAGACAGCAACAGCAAACAGAGGCAGAGCTGTGCATGGATGGCAGGCAAAGCCTGGGGAGTGGAGGAAGGCCAGCAGGGCGTTAAAGTTTGCTGCATCATTAACTTTTCAGATTACTTTAAAATGTGAAGATTGATGAGGGATAAAAGCATGTTTATGGCAAAAACAAATATCCCCATCCTTTCCTCATTTTTCTCCCTAACTATTAAAGCAATACATCCATTTTCAGCAAGATGCATCTTGCAAACCAGTGTGGTGCTAGGCTCCTATAACTGTAGTTTCTAAAAACCACTGATTCCTGTGCACAATGATGCAGTTACAATGCTCTACCACAATTTGGGTATGAGTAAGGAGCACAGATAAACCAGACTGTAAGTGGGTTTTATTGCAAGGAAAGAAAATACAACCAGCTTCCTCACTGTGAGCTGTTTTGCGTTCACGTTTACATCCTGCAGCACTCATCACAAACAGGCTTTTTCCAGCGCCTCAGACTAGAGATCTGCACTGCAGCAACTCAGCACTTCATACAGAGGCGCGCAGCAGTCATTCTGCATTCAGCAGCACATGCAGAGTCATGAATATTCAAACTAAAGCTATCTGCCTGCACAATTAATCTGTTTTCCCTCAACGGACAGACCCCAGAGAGCAGAGAGCCCACCAGGCGAATGCACAGGGGCCTGCTGTTATTGCTCTATGCTGCACAATATTCAATTACCAATTTATTTAAAAATACAGGCAGTGGCATTTTGACACATAAGTGGAGGAACACAGAGGCCTGATCAATCATGGATCTGAGTACTTCAAAAGCACCCAAGCCCCTTCCTAGCCTTACAGCTCTTGTTGCATTCACTGATTTTTCTATACCTAAAGTAACTTTCACACGATGTCTTCAGACGCTTGCTAATTCCCTCTGCTGTCCCTGCAAAGGCATCGCTCTTGGCCCAAGCACGGCTCCTCCGCGGCTGAGGAGCATTGTAGGACAGTGACAGGGCTCGCACAGGGCACTGGCCAAAGCAGCCCCGACCTGATCTCTCTCCATAGGGGTGAACTCAGTGCTGAGCTTACTGTCAGGCAAGGGAATTATCAACAGTGATGTATGAACAGGGGCTTCCCCAAAAAAGCATCTTCCTTAGGCCTTGCAGAAGGGCTGCACCTAAGCGTGTGTGCAGGGGTGGAGGGAAGATGGGAAGCATCTCTTTCCATGGGAGGTTGGAACCCCTCTCAGTTGCAACCAGAGAAGGAAAGAAAGCAACCAGCAAAGCAGAGAAAGGCAGTCTTCTCTTAAACTGCGCTTTCCACAGGCAACGTGGCAGAAAACTCCGAGCATGTGGAGCAGAGCTCCCCAGTAACAGGCTCTGATAGGGGGATTTGGCCTGTGGAAGGGAAGCCTGTAGGAGGATATCCATTTAGACCAGCTGAGAAACTACCTGCCTAAGTTGGGCTTGAGGAACACTCATCTTTCTGAAAGTGAATGGATTTTTTTTTTCCTGAAAGCTAGATGTCTCCTCCATCCATTACACGCTCTGTCATGTGCTTGGCTCATGCTGCCTGGCTCAAAGCTAACATGAACGAATGGTCTGGCCACACTCACAGCTTGATTTTTCTTACAGATGAAGAATTCCACCTACAGTTTATTTTTTTAGAGACACAGCAGTGCAATTTGTTAGAGCAGATACTGTTAGAAAGCATAAATAGGTAGAAATAGGCAGGAAATAGGACACTGCTCAGCTCTAACGCAGCAGCAGTATCAGCAGGGACAGAAACAGCCCTTTCTGGAGTTCATGGTGACCCCATCACTGACATGGGACAGGGACACCTGCTTACACTCTTGCACCAACAAAACTTAAACTGTGGTTAACCAAGTTGTGTGGAGGTCTACCCAGTCCAGTGCTACTCACATATACAGCTGAGGATCTGAGGTCAGTGTGTCGATGTTGATATGCTGCTCCAGGAGGCTGTATGCCAGGATAGGGAGTGATGTGAAGCAGATGTTGTACATTGTAAGATAAGCAGCATCGTACAGTGGCTTAAAAGAGGAAAAAAGGTTAATATGAGACAGAAATTCTGTTTTAAAAGTCTCTCCACAAACAGATTAAAATTTTCCAGCCCTTGGCTCTGTACATACCCTACAGATTCATCCCTTTGTCATAGCCACATAGGACAGTTTCATTTGATAGGGGTCGTGCTCTGTGTGATGCCAAGGGGACCAAGGCACCTGCAGGCTGCATGGCCGGGACCCTGCTCCCACCACTGGTCTCATCTGCAGCTCATTCTCCAGCAAAACGTGATTAAACAGCCCTTATCACAGCTTTTCTGTAGCTGCTCTTGTGCTGCTGTTTCTGTTAATATACTTGATGTCTCCTGTGACTCTCTAAAGACTAGACTGTTTTAGAGTAACTATGGCTTCTTTTTTTAAAAAAAGATCAAGTGTTTCTGCCAAGTCCCATCATTTACTCTTCCTCATCATTACTTCTGAGCCCAAATAGACACAAAAGCCTGTCAAGTTGACACAAAAGCCAAGCACGTGAACCCACTCACCACATGGATCTCTCTCTCTGACACTTGGACTAAACAAGGCTCTGATGACATCAAGCATGTGTCCTTTTTTTAAAGGCTGTCATAAAAGAATAAACTGTTGTTCCTTTTGAGAGCCTTTAATGCAGGGAAATTCAGCAAATGAGAAAAGATTGGGAAGTATTTGAAAACTTTTTCTCTTAAGAGAAAGAAAAGCAGCAAAATCAGGTGCTGACAATCCAGCTAAACCCCTCTCTCATTACTTTGGGAAGGTGTGCATCTGTATTTATGGGTGGTGGATGGGAAAGGAAAGAAAGCAGATGTCTTTTCAGTTATGGGTATCAAAAATATTATGCTCCAGATATGATGCTGAGCAATGAGGTCAGTTCCTACTGTCCTCTAAAGCAAGGTGAGGAAGGGACAGGACACCAAAAGCCAAGTTTCTGCTAGGAAGCCTCATTGTGCCCCTTGCTTTTTATCCTACTTTTATAGACATGTTATTGGAAGTTACCTGCTGTGAGAATCCACAGAAGAACTGGTATAAAAACTGTGGTAAAATGAAGCAAAGGTTCTAGGGAAACAAAGACAAACAGTCAGCAGGGAAGCACTTGACTTCTCAATCTGCATAATTTTTCCTGTTACCAGACATTAGTGTCTGATATTACAATAACAGACAAGCTAGAGCACTGTTTTCTACCAAGCACAAAACTAATCCAATGAGCAGTTAGTATCTGCAGAAGACAGGTGAAGAAAGTCATGCTCACATTCCCCTGTAAGCACTGTTTTCAATTGACAGGCACATGGCAGAGACACAGCCTGTTCTAGGGAAGGAAAACAGAGCTACAGAACAACCTATACATTTTTTTCTCCTGTTTACTATTGTTGCTATTGTCAAAGAAACCCATAGTATAAACAAAGAAATAAGCTGCACACGCATCCTTACCTTATAGAAGAAATACTGTACAAGGTGTGCTATTCTCACATAATATAAATGCCCATGTGCTAGTAGCAATTTTCTTAAATGTTTAAACTTTGGCACAGCATAGTCGCTGTTTCTGGAAGCCTGCCGTCCTTCTTTGCCTTTTATACCTGGAGACACAAGTGTGGCAAGGGGTTAATCCCTAAGAGACTGACATCTGGACAGATGCTATGGCAGGGGGTTAATCCCCAAGTGACTGGAATATGGATAGATGCTATGGCAAGGGGTTAATCCCCAAGTGACTGGAATCTGGACCAATGCTACCCCCACTATGTTTGTTCACATCGCTTAGCATTTCAAGGCACAACAAAGGCCGTATTTCCCTCTTGAGTGCCCTAGGAGAACAAACAGTGCTGCAAGACTCAGCGTGGTTTTGGTTCCACAACACTCAGACCTGCCTCTGGAGTTTTTAAGTTATATTTAGGTTGCTGTCAGAGTTCCTGTGTAAGAGAGCGTGGTGAAGAGTATCTAAGCAAATCTGATAAAAGATAAGGAATTGGATTCCCCACAGGCTTGACTGCATCGCACACAGCCTAGTTATTTCCTTGCAGATGCTCAGCCTCCCGAGACATCCCTGCAGAGCTGAGCTCAAGAAAGACAGTTTTGTTCACTCAAAAGCCACAACCAAATGAACTGCACTGGGATCCCATTCACTGGAAAGCACCGCAGCACTTCCAAAAGCCCCAAATAAAGACATTGCCCTTTCTCTTCTATCGACCTTTCTTTAGCGGTATTTCCTGTATCTCTGACACCAGTCTGCAGAACAAAGGACAGTTTCCAGCCTCATGTCAGTCACAGGGACACGGCAGACACAACATAACTGAGCATAAGCCCCCTGGGAAACACATGGAGGTCCCCAGTGTTGAATTACTAGCAGCTGTGACCAGTTAGCCCTAATAAAGTCTGACGTTTTCCTTGCACCACATTTGCAACAACTGCCAGTAATCACTCATCGGTTTGCTACTTGTGCCTTTTTCTGACCAGCAAGCAACCTTTACCATGTTGAATTTGGCCACAGAGTTTTTGAATGCAATCTGCAGTTTATTACTGATAAAGAGAGTGGTACTATCAGAAGTGAGCAGTATGTGATGATCCCAAGACTCATCTGGAGTCAAACCCTGGCTCCAAAGAAAGCAACAGCAGACTTTCCACATTTTTCTGTGGGATCAGTCAAGCCACATGCAATGAAGAATACTGACTGTGCCTCAACAGTGAACCCCAGCAACAGCAGACAGGTCTTAGGTCTCAGATGAGTGTTACTCGGGCGTCTTACCTATTCCAACATGTGCTTCCAAAATCATACTAACATCATTTGCGCCATCCCCTATGGAAAGGGTTATTGGGCTCCCTTTTGTGTTCTTCACCATTCGCACAATCTGAAAGATTTAAAAAAAGGATAGCAGCAGAACCCAAAAATTCAGTTAAAAAAGCCTCCAGAGACCCCCCCACTGCCCCACTTGCAAGAGCTGCCCCAGGATAAGCAGCAAAATTAATACCTAGAGAGTTCAGACTAATAAAACCCCTCGTTACTTCCTTCACAGTCACTAACCAGAGCAAAAGCCAAGATCCAGCTGCACAGGTCAAGAGAACAGTATTTAAAAACAAATCCCAGGTAGCAGCATCACGCCCTTCCCTTCTGCCAGATTCCAGTCTCCCAAAGATGGGACCTCTCAGGTGTTTCAGGGTGCAGGAAACCCTTCATTGGAAGAGGGGCAGAGACACACTGCTTATCAGGCTTGGATACCATCAGCTGGTGTGAGGAAGTGTCCTGGCTTAAGTCATGGACTCCACTTGACAAATTGGGAAAGGAAAACAGAACAAACAAGGGGTTTTCTTTATTTCTAATTGGCTTGGGTTTGTGGCTTCCTGCAAGCATATTAAACAAAGGTTTTACATTCAGCTTTGAAAGACTGGTGTGTTTCCATCACACTCTGAAGCTCAGGCTTACACATAGCCTGGAGAAGTCCTAGCTAAGATGATCAGGTCAAGTCCCAGCCAATGGATCAGAAGTGCATCACATCACCTAACGATGTGCTTCAGTTAGCTGAAAGTAAATACCTGTGCTTTCTGCAAAGGAGCCATCCGGCAGCAGAGGACTGCAGTACACTTCAAGCAGATTTGTAGAAATATGTTTTTGTAATTACTAGAACTGGAGTCCTGAGAAGGGTTGAGTATCAGCGACAGTGTTGAGCCATCTATAATCAGGCCATACTCTTGACTCAACGTCCAGCTTCTGCAACACAATGAGGAACAGGTTTGAAATAAAAATCAGACTTTAAGAAGTCAATCTAGCTGCTTGTATCATCTTAGTGGAAAGAAACTGCTTTTGTATTAATCTTCTTCCACCTTTTTCGGGGGGCTTAGCAATCTTAAAAAATTTGGATTTAACATGCGCCCTTCACTAAGGGAACTACGTAATTAAGTTAAAAACCAACTAAAACTAGAGATGACAAGCAAAATGAAGGAGCAAGCCACAGTATCTGCAAGTAGCCAGTCCCCAGGGCCACAACGTGGTCCTATTGCTCTATAAACTTTGCGTCTGCATCCGAAACACACACAGGCTGGATCTTTTTGTTCACTTACCTCTTCAGGCCTCCCCGGTTTTTGGGAACATCCTGAATCAGCTTTTTATGGTACTCCATCAGCAGCTCATGGAGCCGATCCTCCTTTCTTTCGCTCTCACCCACTGTTTTTGCTGTCAGCTCCAGAAGCTCGGTGCTGGTCTGGAAGAGCCTGCAGGCATAGCAGGTGGATTTGGCAGTTTCCATCTTGTCTCCCGTCAGCACCCAAACCTTCATGCCGGCTGCGTGCAGGGCCTCGATCGTCTCTGCCGACTGCTCCTGCAGCCTGCAAGCAGAAGTAAAACATCACTTCTCAGGCTGGCCCACATTTAATCCATATAACTCATATTTTGCAGGTAGGAAATACCAGCTCAAGAGAAGTTAATTGATTTTCCCCATGCTGGAGAGACCACTGCCATAGGAATAAGGATTAGAAGTCAGCAATCCCAAATTTTTATTTGCAGCCAAAAAAAACCAAAACATAAATCACTGCTTTATACTGTGAGACCTAAGAGTCAAGAGTAAGAGTTTAATTTACAGACGCAGTTACTATAGCTGCATGCGAAACAGAATTTGTTTTGATGTGCAAATTAATGCTGCATGCTTAATTCACTCCCTAGAAGGGTGAGTACTTCTGTAGTTTCATTAATAAATCCCAATTCCTACTATGCTGGCCAATTTTAGCAACTAGGGCGCTGTGTAATGTGTTGTGCCGTGGAGTAATTAATTGCCCTGGACACTTCCAGCATCTGCCTGGCTGCTCAGTTCCACCACAGCGAGTCAGGGTCACGATGCAACATCAGGGAGAAACCACAGGTACTGCAGCATCAGTGGTGGTCACCTCTTTACCTGTCTTCTACGGCAGTAGCCCCAATCAAGTGCATGTCTGCTTCTGTGTCTTCAAAAACCTTCGCCATCTTTTCCTCCCTGTCCTGCAGAGCCATCTTAGCTTCATTAAGTTGTCTGTCAATTTTGTCATACTCTTTTTGAGTTAGTTCTTTGAATGCCACGCAGAGCGTTCGGTAACCATCCTGGTAGGGGGAGGGAAAGAAAATAAAGTGGCAAGTGCCCTAAAACCTGATTTTCTACAGCTCCTTACTTTGGGTTAGTGCTTTCTCCACCACCAGTGCTTTCTGTCATTACTCTGACTCTGATGGCAATGACAATTCGTTGGCTTGAGTCAAAGACCAATTTCTCTGTTTGCACAGCAACTTTTTCCCATCAGAGTAACCATGGTTATGCTTATTACGTGCATGTAACACGGCAGAGAGAAACCAAAAGAAGGACCAGAGCCAAGAGTGTGCATCCTGCCAGGAGAGCGAGGACTGGGTGTCCCCACAACTGGGATCAGGCACTTTGCCCACCAGAGAAAACAGCCTGCTATTGTTATTTCTATTTTAACTTGCTTGGGAGATGCTTGGACACAACTGTGATGGAGACCATGTAAGTACATCAAAAGTCAAATAAAGACGGTAGCCAAAGAAACAGAAAAGGAAAGAAGTCTGGCTTCAAAACAATGTGAAGTGACACTCAGATTTTCAACACTTCCCCCCAAAGCAAGGCCACATTTCTATTTTTGGAGTGAGGCTTTCCTGACCCCAGGAGCCAGCCAAATTCCATCCACGTGCTCACCATAGCGTTGCGGTCCACATGGACTTTTGTTTGTTGGATTTCTTCTTGCTGCACCCTTGGAAAAATAGAGGAGTCTGCTCCTTTACAGAAGAGAAGCAACTTTCCTAAAAGTAAATTATAAATAGTTTATAGCATTCACAAGCTATAGAAAGACTTAACAGCTTCAATAGCCACCAAATGATGCAGAGGGAGGAAATCTGGCAGGACTAAAGAAGGAACTGCTAGAAACCCAGCTGCCTACTGAAGGAGGCCTAACAATAACTTGTGCAAAACCTTGTGTTGACCTCGATGCTGGGACATCAGGCATCCCTACCTGTCTCTGAGCAAGCTTTCTGCAACAGGCTGGACAAAGCTGTTTCTTTTTTCCTATTTAGAAGCCTTGGCAATCTTTTCAAGGAGGGTAAAACCAGCATCCCACACCTTATGGGACTGACATTTGAGAAGGATGGTGATCTCTGGATTTTTGTCTGCTATCCCCATGAAAACCCATCCCACTCAGTGGAAAGTCTCACGTCTCCCCCCTGTACTTGTACCTCCAGGCTAGAACAAGGCAAGTAGGGAGCTCTCCATGGGTCACTGTCCCCATCCCTGTCCCCTCCCCTTACCTACTGCTTGTCCCCAACTGCTGCTATGGAGAAAGTTAACTCTATCCCAAACAGACCCAGTACAGCATTTAATTAGACCAGCTTAGAAAACCCAACAGCTTAGCCTCTCTCGGTTACAGGAATGAAAAGGATGTGTTTTATATTTGTGCACATGTACACAGAGGTATAGGAATCCAGAAAGGCAGTTTAACCGTACCGGTGGTGGTTCTCACAATGACACTCATACGACGACGGACAGGATCGAAGTTCAACACATGGAGAAGTTGGTACCTTAAAAAAAAAAAAAAAAAAAAAAGCTTAGACTCAGTAAAAGAAAAATAACTGTAAGACAGAAAATCGTTAACAACAAGCTGCAGAAATCAATACACCCTATAAGTGGCAGCACCCACTGGGCAATGTACTTTTTACAGCTACTGCACAAGAAAATGGAGTTAAAAAAACCCAACAAAACTCCAGTGCTGCTTTGAGCACTGGACTGAGGGTGTGGGTGCCCAACCGCACATAGAGGCCTTGGGCTGAGCAGCGGCTCAGCAGCAGGGCACCACATGCTGCAGGCAGTGCCACCATCTCTGGCATTTGAACAAGAAATTTCACCATCAGGGGAGTAAGAAGTGAAATTTGCTTGTGAAGATGAGTTCTTGGGGAGTGCTGGGATTAGGTCAGAGATTCTCAGATGTCCCCCAAGGTGTGGGCACAGGGTAAAATCTAATTATTTTCATCTCAGGAGGGGAAAAATGTTACAGGGAAGGGAGCCGTATCACACAGTTTAGGCTTACAGTATCCCATTGTGAGGCCCAGCCACTGTCTGTGAGGTCAGCAAGCACCCCGTGCATCCCAGGAGCCATCTGCACAGCCAGGCACGGATGAAGGATACATGTAAGGGACTGCAGGCACTTAAGGGACCTGAATTTAGATGTCACTAAAACCACCAGCAGATTTTTGCAAGAAAGCCTTCCAGCCTGCATCTTACTGTGCTGTGCTTTGTAAAAAGCACAGGAGTTTTTGGGCAAGTCAGCAGGGTCTGACAGCCCTCATGGAACAGCTTTGACCTTGCCAGGTTGGCCACACTGACCAAACTTGACCAAGCTGGGTGGGAACCGGCACAGCGCTAGCAGCACTGTTCCTCGGCAGCACCTGCAGCACTTACATTTCAGTTTCATTCTTTTGGTTTCGTATTTTCATGAAATCATTTTCAAGTCCTAGAAAAGTGAAACCATACCTGTCAATAAACAAAAGGACAGAACAACATTGAAAACACCCATTGGCACATATTACACATTAACAACGTTCTCATTTCACCTTCTGTACTGCAGAGGAGAGCAAAAAAATTAGTGAACTCAAGCTAAAAAGCTTGGCTGGGCATTTGCTTGCTCCATGCAGAGCCTGCTATGATGTTCTGGCACTGCTCCCATGACCTGGAGAGTTGGGCACCGCAGCACACAGATGCCAAGAGCCTGTGGACGTGGTCTCCTGGGTCTCCATGAGCAAGCATATACAGCTGCAACAGCCTCCGTCTAAAACCTAGGGGCTGGCAATTGCATAGACTTTGCGTTGAAGGGGATCTTAAAGATCACCTAGCCTCAGCCCCCTGCCATGGGCAGGGATACCTTCCACTAGATCAGGTTACCCAAAGGCCCATCCAACCCAGCCTTGAGCATCTTACGCAGGATTCAAACGTGGGTTTGATAAAAGTAACTCATCCTATTATTTTGCCACTGCATGACAAGGAAGCAATTTGGCTGCAATATGCACATGGGAACTGGTCTCCATTTCTTGGGGATTAATGTACATGGCCATGGGACCTCCAGCAAAGGAGCCTCTGCCCCAGCCAGGCACTGCAGCACCTTGGGGCTGCTCTCAGCAGTGAATACAAACCATAGCCTCCTGAGGAGCTGCTCAGGGAAGACCTTTGCAGAGCATTCCTTTTACAGAGAGCTCATTTAAACCCACAGGCTCACATGGCTTCACAGGGGTGCAGGTCAGGCCGAGCACTGGTATCACAACGTGCTTGCAGATGAAGCTGCAGTCTTGACCAGGGAAAGGGATCTATCACCTTCAGATAACCCCCACCTCCCTTCCCAACCAGAGAGAGGGAATTAAAAAACCAACATCTTCATATTCTTACTTTTCTGCGCCTTTCACCAAAGCAATTTCATCTGGGGAAGAGGAGATATAGGTGTATTTGCGTTCTGGATGTCCTATCAGCCCATCCACCTGGTCTGCTTCCTTGATCTGAACAGTGTGGCACAGGCAGAGGGCTCGCAGGAACAGCTCCTCGCGGCTCTAGGCAGGAGTGAGGGAGGGCTCGTTACCAGCTTAGTGCCGTGCATCGAGCCCACCTCGCAGCACTTGGCTGCTATTTTTGTGCATGCATATTTCAAAACACAAAAAACCTCACCCTCTCTCAGCTTCTGCTGTATTTATCCAGCCAGGAGCTGACCACAAAATCCTAAGTCAGACACACAGGTTTCTTACCTTTTCTGCTTTGCCATATTTTAGGGGTCCATCGGTCTGAGAGAAGCCATCCACCTCCGAAATGCAGTCTTTGTACTTGTGCCCATCTATACAGCACTCTATGAACTCCATGCTGTTCTCAGTCAGGGTCCCAGTTTTGTCCGTGAAGATGTACTCCACCTAGAAGCAAGCAGGCAGGCTGCCTCGCTGCACCCCCAGCCCCATGCGCTGAGGAAGGAGACCCCCAGAAACAAAGAGGCTGGGACATTTTAGTGCATCTGTGCCAATCCTAGACAGTACTTTGCTGCTATCCTAACCTGGTCGCCCAAGACACAGGTGCCCACAAGAGTTACCCCACTGTGCAGTTCTACCACCTTTGCTCCTCAGAGCAGCTCCTTTGTTTTTCAGCCCATTGCATGGGCAGCAGGAGGCAGCTCCTGAAGACTTAAAATCTGTTTCCAGGCTCTTTGTTTTCCCCTCATCCTCTTTATTGGGTCCTTTGCTATAGCTCCTAGTGACATAGCAGCTGCTGCAGGTCTGCTGCCTCCTTTGGGGGATTTTCATCTTGGTGCTGTATTTAAATTAAGTAATTGCTACTCCAAATATATATTTATTTTTTTAAAAGCAAAACAAAAAGCAGGAGGCATTACACATACCCTCCACTCAGTCCCTCTTGGTGCAGATAAGAAAGGGAAGACTGTGCTGTCTAATTGCCCCAGCAAACCCAGCAGCAGCATGGCTGCATGGGCATTGCATGCCCAGAGACACAACCGGGCAGGCATTTTTGTTAATCCTAGAAGAGACGGAGGATTTCAATTTTTAATTGAAGCAGTGAAAGCAAACCACCCTGACATGCAGAGTGCTGTGCCTGATATTCCCCAATATGGAAACAATTGGCATGACCCAATTCCTGCTCTTTCACGCACTATTTATAACCTTATCCGTTTCAAGGCAGCTTCATGGGCCTGTCTGATGCAGAGCGAGTAGAATCACGTTAAATGAAAAGTGCCACCAAACCAGCGGAAGTTCTGCCCTGAGGGGACTGCAAGGGACTGCCACAACAAGAATTCCTACCAGGGAGGACACTTTTGTCTGCATTTTCATCCAAGGAGATGCAAACAGAGCATGTTCTGACCTGCCCGAGCTCTTCATTCAGGTCAGAGGTGTTGACCAACGCCCCCTCTTTTATTTCTTCATCGTACATCTCCTTGTCCCAAGATATGAAGAAGGAACCCAAGAACTTCTGCATCTCTACTGTAACGTACATGGAGACTGGGATAATAAAGTTGAAGAGGACCATAAATGACAAGAAGTCTGTGAACATCCGCAAGACCTGCAATGGAAAGAGGAGAAGATGCAGCCTGTGCCCAACAGGCCTAGCTCAGGGGCAGTTTACAATAACACCTCTGGGGTTTTAGACAGCTTTTAAGGTTAAAAAGAAAAAAAAAAAAACAACAACCCAAAACTGAATACAGCTAAGATAGACAGCCAAATTCCATTTTACTTTGATGCAAAAAATCTGCCTTCTGCAGATCTACAAGGGTATAATACAAGAGTACATCTCACTGCTGCACAGTGACCAAAACGATGCTTTATTCAAGTATACACTGCTACAGGCTTGTTCTCATCTCAAGCAACTAGAAACAAGGAGCAAGTGGCTTGAGACCAGTCAAGCTATGGCGAGGGTACAACCGATTCAGTGACGTCCCTGTAAGTCCTACTCAATAACCCACCAAAACCGATTTCTACACACTTATACTCACTCTTCTAGGCTTGACTGCCTACGTCTCACTAAGTTTAAGAAGCTGGTTGACATGGCCTCAATTTAAGTTTACCTACTCACAATAGCTTGAGTTCAAGTAAGGATCCAGATTAAATCAGCTGCTGCATTTCTATAACACAAAGTATTTATTTATGCTTTGTCTGCTCCACACAAGCATCACCATGCACAAGCATGAGGGAGGCAGGAAAGAAACATAAACCAGCAGAGGAGACTGAAGGAAACACAGCACTTCCAGTTAGCAAACAGGGCTTGTAGGGCTGGCAGCAGACACTATCAGATTAAATGAAACCATCAGAAGAAAGCTGGAGGAGGTGCTGAAATACAAATCCACTTACCTTGAATGTCTCTCTCTCTTTTTTAGTCTTCTCATTGTACCAAGGCTCATCATTAAATGGATTACTCTGCCAGACATATTTCAGAGTCGTGCACACAGTAGCCTTGCTCAATAGGATGCACAAATACACTATCAAGAAAGCGTTGATAGATCTGAAAAATAGGTTGCTTTTTTAAATTCTTGTAGCTATTTTTATATAGAAAAATCATGCAAATAAGCAGGAACAAGACTTCTTCACTTTTAAGGGAATTGCAGAACAAGCGCTTTTGACGGTGCCGATATTCAGGGTCAGTTCATAAATTCTAACATTTCTTAATTTTGTTTTTAAATAAAAAAAGCTACTAAGTAATGCAGCTTCTTGAAAGATATGCTTAATCAAATATACAGACGTTCTACGCATGTGAAACAAAAGGCAGCCAACTAGGGTATTATTTCTGTACAAGTCATCCATAAAAAAACCCCCAAACAAATTCACAGCTTTTACCCATTTTTTGCTGACTATAAATACTCACTTTTCTACAGCAGACCGTTTCTGAGATTTCCCTTGGTAGTTCAAAGCCATTTTCGTTTCCATTCCAGTATAGACTGCAACTCCTACAGGGTATTAAAGCAGGGCTCATAAGGGACTCGCAGGCCTGGAGGGACCCAGCTTGCACTTAGCCATAAGGGGCATCGGTGTTTACATGAAACTCGAATCCCAATTGAAGAAAGAGGCATTACCCCAGGACCGTTCAACTACAGAAACCTCCGAGGCTGCTAAGAAGTGTAATTGCATATATCCCAGAGCACTCAGCAGGAGCCTATGGATCACATACAGTCAGAAAAAACATCAGTCTTCCATAACAGCCGTCACCCTCAATAACTAGTGTCTCGGACTGTTATCCTAGCACACGTTTTCAGCAAAGGATTTGGGAACAACTTCCTGCTCTTCATACCTCAGGCAAAAAGAAAAGCTTGATGAGGTGTATTAACACAACCTGCACAGCTTGGTAGCACTGCAGATACAACCAGTATCTCCTAATTTCACCCTGTCAACTTTGCAACCAGCTTGTGTACCAAATGTAACTGTACAGCCCAGGCAGACAGGCTGTAGAGAAGTATTTTCCCTCTCCAGATTTAGTGATGAACATCTACATTTGTCATTATTTATCAGAACTATTTAAATAAAGAAAATATGATGATAATAATAATAATAATAACAACAACAACTGTTCACCATAAATCTTCTTGGTATTTTTGAGGGTAGCACCTTTCAGCAACAGATTTTCAGGACCCAAAGACCTAAATGTAAAAGAAGTTATAAAATTACATCACTCAAAGAACATTCAAACTGCTTTATAATTTAGACCCAGCTATAGATTATAAAGCTAAACAGATGTTCTTTAGACGTGATAAGTTGATGTGTTTGCTAAACTGGGCATTGCTTGAGTTTGTTTTCCTCTTTATATGCTTATATTTCCACTTCATTTTACACAGACCTAATGCAAAGTTTCAAATTCAATGCGGGATTATCAGTAAGGCTTTTGAGGAATAAGTGCAAAACGTTCAGGTCTAGTATGTTCCAGTACTTATATAAAAACTTGATTTTAAAAGCACCAAACACCTGTCCATTCCAGCACAGTTGATCAACGGCACCAAAGCCGATGGCTTATTTTGCTCCCATTTGTGTTTTTATTTCCCACCCATGACGCTCTGTTGCTTCTAGGGTCTGGGTAGATTCTCCTCAGCACAAAACCCAGCCAGCACCACTCCAGTGACAGCCATATGGTTTTGCTGACTTACAAATATTATTTCCTCATTTTTTCCTGAAACACTTTGATTGATGCTCAAGTTTCTGCTTTCCCTTGCAAAACAGTATTTTGCAATTGCCTGCTAAATTTGCTGTCCATCAGCAGGGAAGGATGTTACCAGGTAGTCCCACATTGCTTCCCCAAGAGGGGACCAAACAAATCACAGGACAGCAGAAGAGCATAACTGGAGAGCCTAACTACAGGCCTTCCTTAGGAATGAAATACTTGGAACAGTTAAAGAAAAATGACCATTCCCTAATGATGACAGTGCAAGTTCAGATCTTTGAAATCTGATGTAGATGCTGAGCCTCTCTGAGGACGGCCAGCGAGACGGCTGCAAGACTAACCTGGCTACAGGCTCTTGGTTGCTTCTGTAGATGATAATTCTTCCAACAAATCTGCAATAAAAATAAGAGAAACTCATAATACAAACACATTAATGTTATAAAGAGCTACTACAGACATACTGAAAAAGTCGTAGATAGGAAAGAGAAGCAAACAAGTAAATGAGCCCATTTGGGAGTTCAGTGCTTCAGAGGGGTGGCTGTGCTCAGGACACAGAAGCCACACACGCCCCACAGTGGGGGTGCCCCCAGCAGTGGAGCAGCAGTACCATCATGCTCCATTACAGAGTGTAACACAACCCAGCAAGCCTCCTTCAAGGGATTTAATGACAAAGACCGCTTACTCCTGGAAATCATTCAGCCCAATGCATTTTACCTGGGAGGTAGTGTGGCCTAAGAATAGGCACACAGACCATCACTACAGCTGAGCTGACAAAAAATAGCTCATTACACCATGACAAGTGTTACACTGGGGAGGTTCTACTGCAAAGAAACTGAGCCCTGAAGAAGTACAATGTCGACTTTGCCATCCTACATGGAAGAAGCCCAGCAGTTTATCGCTGCCTCAAGAAAACCTTTCTGTCTGATGAAAAGAAAATGCCCTTTGCTTTGCTGAACTGTAACTTATTAGATCCCCTAACCAATGGTGCCGAGGTGACAGCAGGGAGATGACACCAGGCAGTGACAGGGCAGGACAGGCAGGAGGAGCAGACTCACTTGTAGAGGTCGGGCTGTGGCTGTTCACACTCAATCGTGGCAGTGAGGGCGTCAATGGCTTCATCCGTACAGAGTACAGTGGTATCCCGCACTGCGTAGTGAGTCTGGGCAGAGAAACACAGGCAGCGTCACCACAAGACCCCAGCAACGCAGCCAATGTTTCATCCTGTTACTTAAAATACCACCATGCAGGTGCTCATCAGCACTGGCAGCTCACCCGAGCCCTTGTCCCGCTCCCACAAAACAGCTGAAGCATCTCTCAGCTAAAGAGTGAAGCTAATGAGCTTAAGAGAAACCACAGCAGGAAGGAGCTGCTGCATATCTGTTCGGTAAGGCACGCACCAAAAGCACAGCATCTCTGGTTTCTCCCTGGGTAGTCTTGCTGCAGCCCTGGCTGGGGTGGGGGGGAAGCTGTGGGTGCCCCCGGGGCAAAGGGGCTCCTGGGGACCACTCGCCTGCCTGCTCCTGAAGGTAATTAGTCTCCAGCTCCAGCGCCCAGGGATCAGGCAGAGTGCTGGCAGACTCCAAGCTATTTTTAGCAGCTGCTGCTGCAAAGGTTCATCTCTCACAATTAACTGGAAAGCCCATGAAGGATCCACTCACTGCCTTCCAGGCTCTATTTATAGGAGCTACTCAGAGCTCCAAGTCACAGCAGGCTGCACGGCAGGCTGCCTTAATCCACCTTCATAAACAAATTCATTAAAAAAGCTTCTTCGACTCCTTAGGTTTGCATTCCCCTCCCTGCACATCCCGGGAGGAACCGTTACGTTATATGTGCTGTAGTCATAACATTATAAATACCCATCTTCATGCCGTTTTGGTAACCTGTCTGGCTTTTCATATTGAAAGCAGGCACACAAACACACACACACACACGTATCTGGTACAAATCACAGCTTTTGTGAAAGACAACTCAAAACTCCTCCTGCAGTGCCCAGTACCAAACCCAACCCTTGTGCAGGGTTTTACATCCACTGCTCCTGTCACCATGGCCACTGTGCAATTACTGAGTGATACTTCAAAGCCACCTCCTAATCAATTCCACGATCTTTACATCCTCGGTCCCTTAGCGTATTTAGAAAACACATGTTCTTTTAGATAACATATGACCAAAGATTCACGCTTCAAAGACAGAGCCCTGAAAAAATCCCTTTTATAGTTCTGCTCCAGTTGCACTTAACCAGGCATCTTTCCCATACCTCAACCTGACATGCCCCAAATACCAGAAAAATCTGACCCAGGTAGGCAGCAGATATTGGTGCAGATGAGGTTTTGTGAGTACCTGAGTGTGCTTCCCTCACCCTCCTTTTGCAGCAAACCCTGGTTCCTAATGTTAGATCTATTTCCCCAAACAGCACTTGCTTTTCTATTCCCTCTTCCCCTTCAAACTCATCTTCACCTCATCAAGAAACAGAAGACAGTTCCCAGTCACCTACAGAAATCCACAAACCAAGAAAAAAACACCACAGTGCTTGATACAGAAATTCAGCATTGCACTTGCAGACTCAAAAGTTAGTAAGAGCCAAGATTCTGCCAGTTACGTGAACTCATGCATGTAATACACCTGACACAAATAAGCAATTGCTTATTTAACACAGTTAGCTACATTCAGCCTCAAGCCACTTCAAAGCTCCACTCCTCTTCACTAGTGGAACCTGCATGGTGCATCAGCACTGCATCAGTTCCTACACAAGATTTCCAGCACCAATTGACAGCCACTCATAAAGAGGTGAGCCACAGACCCCATACAATACATATCAGATCAACAATGGTATTCCCATTGACTTCAGAGTGTGCTGGAATGAATCACATAATTTTAAAGTATCTTCCAGTCGTACTACTGCAGTTGCTAGTATCTGCATAAATATTTATCAAACACTTGAATCGTGCCTTGTCTTCTGATGTACTGAAGTTTTTTTGTTGTTGCTGCTGCTTCTTTTCCTATTTTAGAGACAGGGCAGGACGAATAAAGAAAGGAAATAAACTGAAGAGGAGATTCATCCTGAGCAAGACTAGAATTAAATTTCACTACTTGATTCAGGGAAAGGGAGAGACAGGAAAAAAACAGAAGTGATGTTTTTCTTACACTGGTGAAAAATTCCCCAAATTAATCTAGACATACTGCCTCCAACAGTCACAGATCTCACTGGAAAAGTTCAGTTAAATAACAGATGCATTGGCAGGTAGTGGGAAAGGGAGCTGAAGCAGCTGCAGGCACTGCTTTACCAATGCACAGGAGCAGGGAAACACTAACATGCTTCTCATGATGGGCAATAAGGCAGCAAAGCCGTACCGACAGACTCCATTCAGGGCAGCGCCAGAAGGAATGGCCCTTGGAGACAAGACAGAAAATAAATAATCCCCAGGGGGCTCCAGGGTTGATGCACTGAGAGTGGACGGAGGGAAGAGCTATTAAATGCAGCCACGGGGATGGGCTCCACAGACGGCTCCAGGCACCCGCGTACCCCCAAGCACTGACTCCCGAACACTGCCCAATCCATCCCTGTCACCTTGAAATTGGACTCGCCATCAAGACTTGCTGTAGTGACATAACAGGTCCCGTCAATGCTGCTAGAGGCCAAAAATATCAAGTCACAGGGGAAGGTCTCATCTGCTTTCACTTCTACTATGTCTCCAACCTGGAAGAAAGGAAACGTTTACATGAAAAGATCTCTTAGCTGTTATTAGATGGTTTCAGATTTAGCTTCTGTCAAAGCCTAGAAGAAATCTCCTTGGCTAAAAGTGAAATCAGGGTTCAAGAGGTGCATGGCTCCCTGAGCATCACTCCACAGCCCGATGGGCCGATCCAGCCCAGCACCAACTCAGAGTGCCCACGTGCCACAGTTAGCATTTATTTCTCTGTCAAATCTTGACAGAGCAAGAGCCTGTACTTGTCTGAAGTGTGGGGTGATAAATTAACATCAAACCTAAGTGTACTTTCCTGGTGTCCTTGGGAGAGTTGGAAATAGAAGAGGACTGCCTGTCCTGGAGAAGTGCAAAATGCTGACAGATCTGTCACTTGTCAGCTCCAGTACAGCTTTTGTGAGACAGCTTTTCAAAAGCAATCAAACAAAGGCAGCTTCACTCCTTAACTGGGAACAGCTCTCAGAGCATCTCATCTGAAAGTGAGCACACGCTGGGGCAGCTCTAACTGTAGCACATCCCTCCTCCCCTGCCCTCGCCTCCTTACCACACACCCTCGTGTTCCCATCGGCTTCAGTGATAACCACATGAGTTCTCTATTAACAATTACCTTGATTTTTTCACTCTCTTTCTGCACTTGTTTTGCATTTTCGACAATGAAGACATTGCTTTTGTTCACTTCATTGTCAGCTCTGTGCCTCAGCCAGTCCTCGTATCCCTAGGCGCACAAAGACAGGCAACACAAACTCATAATGAAGCAAGTAAACTAATCAAAGAGGATGAGTGGGGACGGATTGAGAGGGAGATATTTTTTTAAAAATGAATAAATTAAGCAGTCCTCAGACCTCCTTCATACCTGACAAAACATCAACCACAGTAGCTCAGACTGAAACAATTTATTTTAAAAACTTCATATGCATATTTGACAGATTCAGAACAGATTAAAATAACACACAAAAATAATCTATATGCAGTACATGCTACGAGCAGCTAAACTACTGTAACATGCTTCTATTATTCTCAGTGTTGGCAAGAACAGGCTGATAATATGAATAATACACTTAGCACCCTGCAACTCTTTCCTATGGTAACACAGGATGAGACTCTTCAGTCTTTACTGAAAGAATAAAACGTTCAGATTTGAAGCAGGTTGATTTTACTGTAGCTCTCCCTTTCTGGCCCCTGCAGAAGAAACTTCTTTTATTATTCAGTCCTTCTGTAGAGGAAATTTTAAATGGCACATGCATACGATGAGAGGAGAACAGGCTTTTAACGCTGCAAGATGAGAACCACATCTTTTCGGGACTAGCAGAGTGGTTGAACAGGCCCTGTCCATTTCATTTACCAACACAGGAGCAGAGCACGGGATATATTTGAAGAACATCTCTGCAAAGACTCAGAGAGCATTTCTAAAAAAACAGAAAAGAAAAATTCAAGTAAAGCCAGAACTACAGTGGTAACCTTTACTGACCCTCATGGCTTGCTTACAACAGTACATATAGAGATGCTTTACACTGCCAAAACAAGAGAGACCAATAACCACACTCAACACGCAGCCTCTCTTGCAAAGCACCAGTATAGGTGTGTCACCTTCTGAGAAGGGTTCCCCAAACCTACCTGTCCATTTTGGTGACTTCTGAGTATTCAAGCATATTCTCCTCAGCATATTCAAAAACATGCTCATAATTTTCTCCATTACATATCTTAAAGAGCATCTTCCTCTCCCCAAACTGACGTTCTTACCTGTTTGATAGCTGTGACAGTGATGACAAAGAAGAGCGGGAGGCCACTGGTCACTGGACTGGTTGGGGTGTCCACTATCACCTGCAAAGAAAAAAAACGTACTGCTGACAAATGGTTTTCAGGCAGCAGAAGAAACAAAAACTCTAGGAGCTGGGGAAAAAGGGTGGCTCAGTACGTTGTGGGTAAGTCACATCCCAGCAGAGGAGGGAGGGAAGGAAGGGGCACATGAGGACCAGCACAGGCATTGCGAGGAGACTATAATCCTGCCTCCTCCTGAAGGCTGTGGGATGTCCTCAGATGGGGAAAAACCCTTCCTGAAGTAGCTTGATCTTGCTCTAGCAGGAAATAAAAGCTTGGATGAACAGGCTGCTGCGTATGGGCTACAGAACTGCAATTGCTCCAAGTGCTGATGCCAACACCCTGCTCTCACCATGGGATGTGCTGGAGAGGACTGAGGCAGTGAAGGAGGATGGGGCAGAGGCAGCAGCAATGCACAAAGTGAAAACCACCCTCGTTTCTAACTGAGCCACAGGATGGCCATTTCTCCTCTTCGGCAGTGAAGACAGGGCATATCTGAACCCTAAAACATGGCTGGTTATGAAAGGGAGGACAGTACCAGTCATCTTGAACTACTGACACTCAGAGGTTAAAAACACCACCCATCAGCCCAAATTATCTATGAAATAAACATTTATGTTCCATTCTGCAATGTAAGTAAAACAGAAATTCACACTTTGTCTTTAAGCTCTCAAATTTAGAGTTCAGAGCAGCGTTTAAGCACAGCGACCACACGAGGGCCTTGGGTTGGACAGCTGGATCCATCCGGAGCTCAGTGCAGCACTTGAGCCAGCGCCACAGCAAAGACCAAGCCCTTTCATCATTCATGAAACCTTTGGGCTGTGCAAAACTGCTGTTTCTTCTGACTGTATCATGACCTTGCCCAAAGGGTAAGAACAGCAGAACAGGTTCATAACTGGGAGGGAATAACTCAAGAGGAGGACAAGCTGCACCCTCGCACCCCCTTCCAAACCAGGGCACACAAAATTGGCCATTTTTCCTGCTGTCCCCAGAGAGGATGAGAGCACGAGAGGCAGATGGTGAGGGCTGTGATGAAAGGGATGGGGAAGCTCAGCAGAAAGGCTTTGTGTCCCTACAAAGGGACTTTGTTTCCCTCTGCTTGTTTGCGCTTCTCTGGCATGCTCACAAACGGCAGCATCTGTATATTTATTGTTTCAGGTTGCCCATAAAATGCTGTGCTAAGGGCAGGACCGCTTTTATCAGCTGGGAGGAAGCTACATGGAAATTAACTCTATGAAATGCCGTACATCACAATTTCACCCTGCACTACTGGACCCAAAGAGAGAAGAAGCCAGAAGGTATTGACATGGAAGAGAGATACCACAAGATGCAACCAGGTAGTGGTGTATGAGTTAAGTAGCATGAGGGTAAACAAAGATAAACACAACAAATATTTCCAAGGAACACAAAGCTCTGGCTCACTCAGATGGGTGTAAAACATTTACAAACAGAAAGTCTGGTAGAAACCAGACTTGGAGGAACAAACTTTAGCAAGGGTGGTGCCAATTGTCACACAGACACATTGCACACAGTATGTGTGATGGACACTCACTGGAGTGGCATCATTGAAGTTTAGGCCAGTCAGCCAGAGGGGTTGGACTACATGATCTTTTGAGGTCCCTTCCAACCCCTAACATTCTGTGATTCTGTGATCTTGCAAAAATTGGACAGACCTTGGAAATACAAGAACAACTTTGCTTTTTACCTGAGAAGGGCAAGTGAGAGGGCTTCCTGCTGCCCAGCAGGAGAGTTCTCTGCACCGGACAAGATGCAGTTGTATGCATTTGTTTAAACAAACAATATGATTTCTGTCCACATGAATGCTGTATTATAGATGTATGAACACAAATATCAGATGAAGTCCCCAGAATAACTAATTTATGTACTTGGAGATGGCACTCCCTGCACATCCCGTGGCTGGATACTGCTCTTCCCCTTCACAGCTGGTGGAAAGCCAAGGGACACAAAAGCAATGAGCTGGAACATCAAAGACAGACTCTTTTGAAGCTATTTTTGAGCTGTTTTAGGACTTCAACAGCTTAATTTGGATCCACTTAAAAGTGACAAAATCTTCATGTTACTTACTAGTTTCTTCCTAAGTCATTGCTTAGGAAACCAAAGACCACAGTCCAGAAGTCATCTCCATCAATCAAAAAAGACATTTGTCATTCCTGGCACCTCCTAAATTAGCTTACTGCCATCAGCTTGGTCTACCTACAAATGCCCTTAGATTACGCTTACTCCGGGCCAGCCGTTTCCACCAGGAGTTTAATCACAGTTTCCTTTGAGTGTTGCAACAGATGAACTGAAGAAAGAGCTATTTGTATCCCTGTTAGCATGCTAATAGGTGTTTTATGTTTAATGCATGTACTTTCTCTGCCTAAAACAAGAGCTGAATTTGGAGTCACAAAGTAATAGACATTTTGATAAAGTGTTTCAGCAGCAGGTAGAGCAGATGCACCAGGCAATTCCCCAAGTGCTGTGATACTTCTCTCCTCATGCAGCATGTAGGGCAATTCCATTAATTTAAAGTAATTTAAAGATAAGCACCAACATTTAAGCTATAGATGCCATTTATCAAGGTACAACCCTTGGTATTTTAAATGAATGGAGTGGCCCTGAGTGCTTTTTTAAGGCAAGTGATGTCTCCAGAACAACGAGCACCCCGGGGCAGTCGGTTACTCTGTAGGGCAAGTGTATTAGCGCTGTCAGGTTGGGTTTTGTTCACTTGGGTTTGCTTTTTCTCTAATAGAGCATGAGGGCTGCTTCCTTATTTTAGAGATGCTCACGCAATAAAAACAAGGAGGAATAGCCAGGCTCTTCTCTCACCTGCATACACCTGTGCCCAAACTGGGTAAGCAGCTAAACTGCAATTGGTTTTGTAAGTATAACCAAGAATATCTCATGCTCTTCATGGCCAGAGGGTCAATAGATAAAATGTAATACCACATCACTAAATGGCCAACTACACAAAAAGGACATTCTGACTCGAGGGCATTGCTTCTGTTCAAGGCATATTACAAATTCAGTCTGACAAAATGGAGCAATGCCAGCAAAACCAAGAGATGGGAGGCGAGCCAGCTGACGTCGGGGTAAATTGGCCTTTCATGTAACACTGCCAGGAGGAGCCATCCTCAGCTGTTATCTTGGGATCCCCTGTTTTCTGCAGCAGCCACCAAAATGACTATAAGCCATAATTCTTTACTGTAAGGATAAAACTTTTTAGACTCTCATTTCAAACATGCAACCTAGAAGAGAGTGATACCCCAGACCTGAACCACCAACACCCCGGAGAAGCCATCTAACAGCAGGCTGTTTGCAGTAGTCACACGATGCCATTTAGTTTGCTGGGATAGAGTTTGATGCCTATTTTCAGCCCTAGAGCAGATTGTCTGCTGAGCCCCAAGCCTGAGGATTTAAAAGGTGAGTAAACACATTGTGGTGATCCTCCCAAACTCCCTTCACCCCAACACATTTTGACAGCCTGCTTTTTTTTGGTTGACAGAACAGAAAATAAGTACTTAGGTTTGCTCAGGATTTGCCTCTTAACCAAAGCCACAGAGCAGAGCAGAAAAAGTTTGTCCATATATAAAATTTGCTATTTTGTCTGTGCAGAGAAGCTTCCTGAAGCTTTGTGTTCCCAAAGCTCATGCTACACATTTTCTGAATTTTACTGAGTACAGCCTCTCTCTCCTGCTTGCCTTTAAACTCACTATAACTAAGATATATGCAAATACCTATAACTTGGGAAAAAACATAGTTCTGCAGCAGAAGTAATAAAGGTGACAAAAAACTTGATCTTAATTCTGTAACATCCGATGTATTTTCAATGGTTGACTGATCTTAACAGTTAAAGATTAAAGATGGTTTTTCAATTGTTTCAGCAAACACAATCTCAGACAGGCCCAAATATTTTAATTGTTATTAAATCTTGGATGGTGTGTCAGAATTATAACACAGCTTCCAACTAAAAAAACCCACTTATAAACACCAATAGAGTCATTCAACCTCAATTCTTGTTCAAGCTGTGCTTACCATCAGTACGCAAAGAAAACCCACCCTTGGCATCAAAGCTCTTACCTGCACGAGGAAGATGATGAGGAAGTAGAAGTTGGCAATTCTTCTAAACTGCTCAAAAAGGTTCTTCGGGAGAAAGTTCCAGAGGGTGTACTGCGGGGAGAGAGGAGGGCTCACAAACAGACCAAGGCACAGGGCTTACTGGAGACTTTGGCTACAAAATGGGAAGTATCTGCACAAAATAGGAAAGGAGTTTTCCCTTTAACCCAGTGAGGGGCATCGCAGCAAGCTGTCTGAGCAGCCCTGGTGCTCAGGCAAAGGGCCAGGTCCCTGCTTTAAAACTGGGAGCGCAATGCAGCTGGATGCCAAGATGCCACTAAGCTCCTGCTTCAGCTTCCAGCTCTCTGCTGGTTCATTAACAGCTGGAAGTCTCTCTCAGTTACCTGGAGTTTTTTGTTTGTTTGATTTAAAGTAGGCAACTATTTCTCTTTTGACAAAATAACCCAAACCACATGGTTGGAGACAGCGAAGAGATAAACAACATAAAAACCACAGGATCCTTTTCAAGAAACAACTTCTAGATAGGCGTTTGGAGAGATATGATTTCATGAAGAGGTAATGTACAGGGCAGAGATTTTTTTTTCCCCAAACAAATTCCAAAAAACATTTTAGAGCTGTTGTTCTATTAAAAAAAAAAAAAAGCCATGTTGCCCATACAAGTTTGTTCTTAGGTTGCTTCATTATCATTTTAAGAAGGCTGCTGAATCATTTGCTTTGGAAAACATGGAATTTAAGAACAACATGGAAAACAACAGGTCTAATATCTGATCTTTCAGTCTGCCTCAAAGACTAATAAGCAGTCAAGTCTCAAGACCAATGTCCACTTAATTATAAAAAGGTCAGGTAAGAAGATTTCATGCCTAGCAAATATAAATGGGAAAAAAAAAAAGCAAGGACAACACTTAAAAATAAATCAGGGAAGAAATAAAATCAGTGCTAAAACAAACCATTTTGTCAAAGAGGGAACTGAAACAGGGTAAGACGTCCTCTCTGAAGGACCCTCTGGCATGCCAGGGAAACATCAATGGGAACACTACACAAGTTAAACATGGTTTAACTTAAAACTTTTCCCCAATATAAACTCAGACAGCACAGAGACATAAAAACAAGTAAGATCCAAGCTGTATAAAAAGAAAGGAGAGGAAACCCCCCCTTACAGCTCAAGTACAGTAAAACCAAGCCTAACTGTATGCTGAGCATCATGCATCCTCAGCAACGTAATACGTATCCAGCTGTGTTGACAATATCAGATGCCACTTGTTTGATATTTTGCTCAAATTGGCTTCAAAACTTTTGAAATAGCTTCATAAATGTCATGGAAAAAAGCTAAGCAGAAGGCAGATGGGTGTCATCACAGTTTTCCACCATAAACAAAAGCTGCATTAATACCGTATGAATATTTCCCCTTTCATCCAAAGGGATAAACAGAGCATGGTTATTTTTGTCCTATGTCAAGAGAGAAAACACCCATCGAACGATAACAAAAAAAAATACAGGGGAATCGTATTTTTCTCTCCATTTATAAAATAATCCCCATTCCCTTTTGCAAATCCAAGTTGCTGTTGTCTCATGCTGTATTACACTTAACCTGCCCTTTCTTCCCAAAGAGAATTCCAGAAAACATTAAAAAATCCTCACTCCAAATAAACCCACAAACCCAATGTATCCATGTGCTTTGCTCCTACCCAGTCTAGAAAAAAGGAACTTGTATGCACCCCCAGTGGGACTGGGAAGAAAAAAAAAAAAAGACTAATAGAGAGGCTGGAGCTGTGGTGTAAGCTATGTAGCAGGCTGCTCCACTTCCAAAGGGACCTTTACATCCCCTTGAGGAATTCAGAGTTTCTCAATTTCAAATAAACCCAGGATGAATACATGAGCAGGGAATACATGTGCATGATGCACCCGGACAAGCAAAACAAGCTCACCTTGGAGGAGACTATCCTGTTGTCGCAGAACTTCTGTGCCACGTACGCATCTGTTTCCGAAACTGGACGGTGCCCGACCACCACGGTGCGTGTACCGACCCGCTTCTCTTCCCCAGCACACTGTCAGGGCAACCAGGAAAACGAAAAATTAGCTTCTAGCTCAAAAAAAAAAAAAAAAAAAAGGAATATTTGTATTAAAAGCTTCCAGCTTCTGAATGCACCATGCTGTAGATCGGAAATAAGGCAGCTGGAACATCAAAAATTCACTTCTCTGCCCCAGCAAATGCATGGGGAATGAAGAGGTGCACGTAAGGTCATTTAGCAAAACCAAGGCAATGCCGAGCTTGCAACTCAGGGTCCCCACTGCTGCTCAGGTGACCACTCATGTCCACCACTCTCCCGCCCCATGTGGGATGGCTGCTGCCTATACTTGCAGCCTGTGCCCACCTGCCAGGCAATTTTTCCTTCTTGAAGGAGAATATCTCTTTATCAAGCACTTCAAGTCATTAGGAATATAATTTATCTTCTATACATCTCTTCCTAGTCCCAGCCTGGAAAGTCCTTCAGTCTTGGGTTCCTACAGCAGCTCCAGGCTTTACCCGAGGGCCCCATAGAGGACAACAGAAACTGCACCCTCCTTTACACTTGCTCTCCTGTCAAACCCTCAAGTCCACCTGAAATGTCTCACCACTGCAATGGTGCACATAGACTTTGGATTTAGCTTTAAAAAAAGGTATACTTCTGCTCTTTTAAAATCTTAGATAAACCCAGAAATAACGAAGCAGACAGTTTCACATCACAAACTCCTCAAAAAGGCACGTGGGGGGCTGAGAATTGCCAGCTTGTCTTGCTGGGGGTTTAATTTAAAGCAGAATGAAATGTCACAAGTGAATGATAACCTGGTATCACCACGGCTTGGTCACAGCCCTTCTTCTCCACAGCAGACAGGGGAAGGATGAGGGGAACTACAGCAGAATAAACTCAAACGGAGGGGAAGCAGAGTGGCTCTGTGGGAGGAGAGCATCCCTTGCACGAAGCCATGAGAGACACTTGCAACACAGGGCTCTAGCAGAGATGCAGCCATCCCCACGGCCCTTGCAGGCTTCCCAGGGGAGGTCACTGCAGCCAGCAAATTAAAGACAGATCCTCCCAATCCAGCGGAGAGTGTGTTAAAATAACACAAAGTAAACAAGGGATCTGAATAGACTGAAAGTAACAGTGCTGTCCTACTTAAATGTAACTCTTCAATATTGAATTTCCAACTTCCTATAATTCCATTCAAAACCACTTGCAAACTTGTGACAAGGCAGAGGCAATGCCTTCCTGGCCAGGGAAGGCTCGCAGGTGGACAAGGCAACACTGTGGACTCCATTTCCATCAGCTTCCAGCACCATGCTGCCCAGCATGCACAAGGTTCTCGATGGATCAAGAAAGTGTATTTTCAAAAGAAACAAAACTGTGCAATAGTTTAAAACCCAGCTTTTCATTCTGTCCAGGTTCCACCCTGCATATAACAAAGCGCCCCCACCACAGATGCTTGCAGCCAAGGGAGGAGACCTGACTGGCACCAGGAAGCATTTTGCAAGGTTGAACTTAAAATTATGAAGTGAATTTAAAATGCCTGCTAAGAGCAGATGGAATGGGGGGAAAAAAAGAGCAGTCTTAGGTCAGGCTAAGGTTTTCTTAGAGTTAAAGTTTTGGATTTTAAAATACAAGCAGGGAAGACATTTGTCACTGTTCATGGTTCAAGGGCATTAGCAGGCAGCAGGGCTGCTAAAACACCAGCAGATACTATTCATACTCCATTTAGTCTTATTAATCCTCAACCCTAGAGCTTGTTGGCTTTGAAACCCCACCAGGGCAGGTGCCAAAAATGCCAAATCCCTAACCCATGTCAGCTGCTCAGCATGGGCTCAGCCTGCCGTGGGCAGATGTTCCTGGTGTACCCTGGGTCCAGCTCAGCAACCCAGTTGTCCAAAGGGTCCGTTGCAGACAGCTTGTCAAGCTGCAAGCAAAACCCAGCTAGAGAAAAGGTGCTCTGAAAGCAACCACGCTAAGACAGCAAGGCCCAGGATTAACCACTGCTTGGGGAAAGCGTAAAAAAAAAAATAAATCTAAGCCAGCACTATTCATGTACCTGGAGCAGAGGCAACTGAACGGATCCTGCTGCACCAGGGGTAGGGTCTGCCCAAAGAAAGCGGCAGATTTTCCTTCCCCCTGCTCCCCATCCACGTCTGCAGCATCTTTAGTTAAGGAGTGTTTTTACACCATGCCTAAACCCAGTTTGGTGTGCTGACTGCTCTCGCTACAGCCGTCCTCAAACCACCAGCGGCAGCCATTTCAAGCAGAAGAAAGTTTCTCACACCCCTGCACCACCCAGACGCAGAGTCAACAGCAGCCACCAGCACCCCTGTCAGCTGCTCCCACTTCCACTGGGCACAACTGGCTCCCAAACACTGATCAGGCAGGCACACGCTTTCAGCTAGGGAATGCCACCACCCTAGCACGGGCTGACCAGCCTCCCAGCCTCATTGCCACTGCCTGCAGCAGCAAACAAGACATCTTCTGAACTAGAAACTAGACCCAAAAAAGGCTCCCTGATGTATCTGCTGCATTATGGAGGTAGCAGCCGCAGGTCTCGCCAACCTGCACCTCAGGAGCAAGAGGCAGAGCCATTCATCCGTGCCACAGCAGTGCCAGGGACCAGAGGCAGATGGTCCCCGAGCCTGAAGTCCCCCACCCTGTCTCCGGGCAGGAGCTGGAGCCAGGCGTGCCCAGCGAGCATCCCTCCAGTGCATGGAGGAAGTAAAAGCTTCCCCTGCCCACGCTGCCAGCAGAGTGGTGGGAAGGAGCAGGGGTGAGGGTATGCCAAACACACGCATTGGCACAGAAGCAACAAAGCTCTGGTTAAAACACTCCTGGAAAAATATACACAAGTATTTACTCTGCAAGACTACCCATAGTTAGCTGTGAAAAACCTGGAGCGTGTGAAGAAGAGAAGCCAGATCCTAGATGTGGTGTGTTAGCTAACCAAGCCCACTATGCTGCTCTTCCACCCAGGTATCACTACCAGCTCCTAGGTGGTCTTTCACCCTTCAACTCCCCTTCAGTTATTTACTTGAAGCATCTCCTACAAAATGACAGCAACTCCCTTCACAGTGCAGAGGCCTTCTGCAGTGGCAGCACAGGGAGAAGTTCTCGCTCTGTGGTCTAATCAGACTCCCATCACTCCTGGCATTTCATTTCCCATTCCCTCAACCACCCCGTGGTGTCACACCACCACACAGCCACGCGAGCAGCTGGAAGGCTTCACACCACATCTCTCTTTTTCACTTCCCAGAAAGCAAGCACACACCATGATGACGCCTGCAGCGAGAGGCGTTGGCTCAGCTCAGCAATTAAAAGCTCTTATTTTGACAAGCCCACCTCAAACAGCTCACCAGGTTGCTAATAGATTACTAAGTCTTAATAATGGCTCTCAACAGAGACTTAAGAGGAGATTTAGGGAGTAACTGCTAGGCTTTTTGGAAAATTCTAAAATATGCAGATTAGCAGGGAGAGGATTTAGACAACTTTTCCCAACCACCTTTCATCAAAATCTTAATTCTGATGGCAAAAAAGAGAAAATATTACTTAGACACAATTTAAACAGCTGCCTCATTGCCTGGTGGGGTTTTATAAAGCCCATGGTCCATGGTGCAGGAGTCAGCTGGCACAAGCAAAAGCCAGAGTTTCTTCTGCTGTTTTGAGCCAAGCCTGCCAAAAGGATTATTTAAGAAAATAAACAAATGCATTCCCCCCACATGCACTTTATCACCTCCCTCTGCCTGAGGCATGGTGCTTGCAGGAATGATGGGAGAACCAGAGGTATCTGTAGGGATTAGCAGTGTCAGACTGCCCACAGCCTCGGGACCACGTGTTGGGAAGCTGCACTGCATCCTCCCACCAAGATGTGAGGATCTGGGGATGCCGGTAGGTGACTCCAGTCCCCACTCTGCCATACTGTGCCCCAACAACCCAGAAGAGCTCCCAGCAGCTGGCAGACACAAAGCAGCACCCCAGGGGACATCACGCAACCCGGGAACCAAGAGCAGAGAGAGAAGGAGGTATTTCTGAGAAGAGCCAACTATCGTGTTTGCATCACTTGAAGACCAGCCCCAAAGGTACGGATCTCCTATGCAACATTTCAAGCTTCAGTTCAGGGCTCTTGCTCTGCTCCCCCAGCATCTGACCAAGCCCATCTGTGAGTCAACCTCTCAGCAGGGCATACAAAACAGATTTCTCCTGAAGAAGCTCAAGTGGAAGACAACAGTGAGCGTCAAACACAAATCATAGGAGATAAAGATGACGCTAGCAAAGCTGTTCTGCCAGGAACATCTTTCTGAACTGGCAGCTCGCTATCTGTCTTCGCTTCCCACCTCAGGCAGGACCAGGCGCCCAGGCTGCAGCCATAAATAACTGCATGGTCACCACCAATGCAGGCACGTACACTCTGCTGCACGCATGGCAGGGCAAAGGGTGGCTGCTGCGGTACAGCCTTCCTCATGCCATAGAGAAATTCAGATAGAGGACATATTTCTGTTGCAATGTAACCCAACCTTCCTGTACTTTCAACTTTGTATAAAGCCCGCTTATTGCCAGAAGCAGCAGTTCTGAAAAGAAGGCATTAGGGATAATAGCTATTTTCTTATGTTGCCCAAATTTAAAAAGCCCATCTACACACATCAATATGCCCATGGAAGGTCAGCTGAGGCTTAGTATTCCACTATAGATTTTTCTTTGAGGAGTTAGGAACAGGTATGATTTGAAGGCATCAGATCAGGGCTAAAAACGCCCATGGATGCAAATAATGACCCAACATCATTTATGACTTGAAGCCACTGGAGCATTACATCGAGATGGAGGAATTACGTTTGCAGCCCACAGCACTATCCAGATTCTCTGCCTGAGTTTGGGCAAGCCTCCCTCCATGCCTCTTTCCCTTCTCCATCTGCGCCCTTCTCCTACAAACATGTCCTGCCCCAGCACAACAGCTCCCGCCTGCCTCCCAAAGAGGCTCCTCTTAACCCGCTCTCACAAATTTCTGGGAATCCATCATAGCACCACACACAGGACCCAGCTGGCACTTGATACAAGTTGCAAACCTGGGTAAAAATTAGCAAGCCTGGATAAAAATTAATGGAGTTGGATTGAGTTCAATAGGAGAGATAAACCTGTGCTCTGCAGCCACCGTTCATGAGGAGACACTCTAAGTGGGCTATTTCTAGCACAGCTGCAAAATGCAGTGTTTAATTCTATCCCCCACACGGAAAACAACTGTCTGTGCTACCTGCTGGCCCCGTTTCCAGAATAAAATAGTGGCAGAAAAGAAAAAACAACTCACCATTTGATTTACTATAGTTTCAGAAAGCACCTAAACCAGAACTAACTAATCAAAAGAAACTCCTTTCATGTTTGCTGAAGATATCTTCAAGCCACAAAGTAAACACAAGTAACTCATAGAAAAAAGATCTAATAAAAACCACAGGCATTTAAAAAACCTCATCTGCTAAAACCAGAGATAATTATGAGATACAAGTACAAAGCTCAAACATTTGAATGAAATCACAGCTTATACTAAATATATGCAGAAGAAAGATTAAATGACATTACTTGGCTTAGATCTCCTGAACAATTTAAAGTCTAATCACTCTTGTATTGTTCCATTTATCATAAAAGTAGTAGAGAAGACGACCTGATTTACAAAAAAAGCCTGTAAAAATAACACCACCTCCCAAAACAGCCTGTTCTAGCTCCCATTTCATTTATGCCCAGAAGAACCAAGAAAACTCACATCCACAACTTTAAAAAGCCTCCTCAAATTTACTGTAATCTCCCCAAAATCATCCGGCAGTCTCAAAAAGTCACTCAGCACACCAATCTCATTAACCAACAGATATATTTTTAACTGAAATTTTTCTTGCCAATTTTTCTATTACTTTTTGTCTTTAGTCACTTCTACACAAGTACAAGCCATGCTTTGAGAAAACCCTTAATAATTTAGCAGCTTGGACTATGCTTACCCACGCAGACCACATTCTTAGGCAGATCTCCTGATTTAGAGAGTGAACTCCATCGATCGGGATCAACCCCAGTGCTCTCCCCTACGCCTGCGGGAAAGGGTCGATAATATGCACAGTCCTCAGGAAAAAAAAACAAACCCAACAGCATTGCATTTAAAATACTAAGAGCCCATAGGTCCAAGAGAAAGGGCTGAAGGTGAGCACAGCTCTGAGCTGGTCCTCCCAGCTAGTCTCCTTCCCACTGGAGAGGACTTTTGTTGCTCATCCCTAAGCAGAAGAGGGAAGGCCAGTACCTTGGGAAAGCAAAAGGTTGAAATTTAAACCAGTACCCCTTCTCCTACCTTGAGGCTGAAGCTCCTACTGATATTTCAAGCAGAGGGAAAACAGGACCACCAAGGAGTGACCGCTGGGAGCAAGCTGGCTCCAGTCAAGGTGCAGGGGGTAACCATGGGAGCCCCCAGACCAAGCAGAACAACAAGCAAGAGCAAAAGAGGAGCCATGGGAAAAGAACCAATATTTTATTTTTTTTTAAAAACCATGGTCAACAGATGATGGGGCTCAATACCCAAACCTTGTCCCTGGTCCCCACTGAGGATGACAAAGCAGTGGATGATGTGCTCTAGCAGAGCATCAACCACCCAGATCGCACCATCCTTAATGCAAGCTGAGGTGAATCCAGTGACACAGGGGGCCTCAGCCAGAGCCCATCCCCATGCCCTCTCTGTCCCAAGGACATGCGTCCTTATCATATGGATTTGCAAGAAGATCACCTTCACCAAGGACGATGGGCTAGAGAACAGCAGAGCCCAACCAGGCTGAGTTTCCTGGAAAAGCTAACTTAGTCAATAAAGCCACCGACAAAAGCAGAGAGACACAGCAGGGTGGGGAGAACAGGGGAAAGGGCTACTTGAAAGATTTAAGAAGGGTGGAGAGAGGAAATACAAGAGTGTTTTTCCACAGATGGTAAATTTACAGGAGGGCCCAGCCCTCTCCCGGCCTTGGGGAGCACCACGTAGAGGGGTGACAACTGAAAAGAGCTTTTTTTGGCATGGGTTTTGGTTCGGTTGTGTTCCTGTCTCTGTCTGGAAGCGGTCTATCCCCAAATCAGACAGTAGTGTACCTTCCCAGCAAATATGCCACATCATTCCTATACCACAGCTTCAGTTCAGCAGCTCTTTGCGAAAAGCCATGTTCACATATGCTGCAGAAAGCCAAAACCAGACCAAAGCCAGGAGATACTGACTGGGAGAGCACTACTTCAGTGATACTGTTTTGTGAAAAAAAATCTATTGCTCCTGTTCAAACATAACCACCGACCTTTGGACGTTTTCAGGTTCTCAACTCTTTTTCCCTCCCCTGTTGGCAGTCAGGGTTACAAAACCATCGTTCATCTTGAAATACAGGCAGCATATTTTTATTTTTGGCAGTCCAAAAGAAAAGTTCGACCAGCATGCTGCCGGCATATAAAATTGAGGCTCATAGGAACACTTCAGACTTGAGAACAGAAAAAGGACTTTGAATAAGAGCCAAATGTTTGTCAGAGGTCACAAAGCAAATACAACAAGGTCTTCCCGTCTCCAAACCTCTTCCTCCCTCCTTTCCCCAGCTCAAGCTGTGCACATGTCTGCTCAAGTACAGCTATTTTAGCAGGGCAGCAAGCTCTTCAGAGCAGTGATTTGCCCTGGCAAAAATTAAAGAGCAAACTGGAAAAAACCCTCCAAGTTTGCAATTGTCAATGCTTGCATCAGCCAGCGCAGCTATAATTTGTTGGTTTTCCCATTGCTTTCTGGTCCTTCAAAAGCCTGAGTTCTTCAGTTATGGAAACAAAAAACCCCCTAAATACTATGTTATGCACCCCAGCTCAGCCAGACATTACTCTGACCTCTGCCACCTACCACATTTGGCCCCTTTTAAAATTTTCCCAGCATTTCAGAGCCAGGCTGCCGGTTGACTGACAAGGAGCCCATTTTCCAGAACAGTTTCCTCCCTTTCTCCCGGGAAGCAAGCCTGCCCAGCTGCCCACCCGCTGGGAGCAGAGGCTGCAGACCCCCCCCACCAGGGTGGGCATCACTGCAGCAACACCCAGAAGCAAGGGCTGACAGCCAGCCCGCATCCCCCCAGGTGAAGCTTTCCCCCAGGGAGGCTGTCGTGCCACCAGGAGTGATGGGAGGGCACGTCCAGGCTGCAGAGGGTGGCAGAGCCTCACACCTGCATCACAGGGTGACTGAGCCTTGCACCAGCATTACAGGGTGCCCTCAGCCCCTGCAATGGGTACTGGAGCTCTGAGGTCCCAGTCCTCCATGCTGCTTGCTCACACTGGTTCGAATTAAGTTTTTCAACTGCAAAAAAGTAAAAGCTGTGGTTTTCTAACCCTCCCCTTGCTGTACTGTACTGCAGAAAAATGTTTCCACAGAAGTAGCAGGAGGTAAAAGAAGGAAGACGGGGAGAAATCACCTACTTCACCCCTTGCTTCACAGCCAACATCAGCTCCACGTGCCCCAGAACCCATTGGGAGTATTTTCATCTTCAGATACTATAGTAATCAACCTTGGGGCTGCAGGCACAGTTACACTAGGATACTGGACCAGTGCAATCCACTCAGTCAGGAGAGAAATCCTCAAGATGTGGCCTAGAACTGTTTATCTTCACGAAATCCTTTTGGCTCATGTTCCTGCTGGGCTGGGTAACATAGCTGCTGAGCAGCACCAGCAAAGCACACGCTGCCCAGGGCAGACCGAGCACAGCAGCCAGGTTTTGCACCAGGAGGTAAATCCGTTTATTCACAGGGACATGGAGCTGAGGTCTGAGCCAGCCCTGGGGTGCTGGGTTTGGTGCTCGAGGGGTTTTTGGTGTGGTCCATCCTGGTATCGTCCACTGCAGAAAGGAGCCCATCCTGCGTGGAACAGGGCGGCAAACCGGGAGATGACTCATGGCCATCCCCATCCCACCAGCCACTTTCCCTAGATGGGCACTGGAATACAGGCGTTCCTGCTCTCACAGTTATTCAGACAAGCACCTTCACCCAAGGTTTCCTCTCTCTGCACATCTGATCTTCCCACCCTGTGCTTACTGGAACGGTACTTGTCAAGTGGAAAGTCCCACTTCCATCCATTCAGCTGTGCCGAGAGAAACCGCCCCACGGAAATGATGTACTCCACAATATTAATTTGGCTGACGCAAGGACAACAGCCCTCTGGGCATCACAGCTAATTTTACTGTGTTCCCTCCCTGAGCAAACATTTATAAGAAAAGGTGAGCTGGAAGGAAGGGGAGGAAAAAAAAAAGAATAAAACCTTCCATAACTCATAGCGAACAAACCTGTCATGCAAAATGCCACCCTGCAAGCCAAAACTATCAATATTGCATTTTAAGCTTAGCTTTGCAGCCCCCATAAGAGCAGGGCTGCTGCTGAGCAGGTGCCCCCAGTGCAGCCTGAGCCCTGCCAGCCCCGAGCAGCACTCAGGGCCTCACATTGCCCCTGATCCCTACAGGCAGCAGCCACTTGGCTTCGTGGGAATGCTGGGGAGGAATTACACAGAAATCATAATAAAAGATGGCAGAGCTGCTCACAAAGTGGTGTGGGTTTGTGGTTTGTTTTTTTTTCTACATTTAATTTCCTGGCATTGAGAAATTTTTTTCCTCTTAAGCCAATTGACTCAGGCGACAGAGCACAGCGTTGCTGGAGTCTAGCAGTACTTAATTTTTATTACTGCTCAAAATATCTCGGATTGCAATACCAAAGAAACACTTCAAATCGTCTAGTCTTGCCTGCTGCACGTCTAACTCAGCTTTTCTAGACCCTTTACTGTACAAGAAAAATAGGATCTCTCTGTTTTGCAAATCAGTGCATTTGTCATAGTATTGCAAACAAATTGCATCTACCCAGTGAGCATTGCCTCTGTTTCCCACTTTAACAGTATTATAAAATCTTATTAAGGTGTACAGCATACTTTAAGATAGGCCAGACAAAGACTACTCACCAATCCTTTGAAGATACACAGCTAGAAATTACCAAGCCCTCCACATACCACTCTATGACAGCAAGGCTGGAGCCAGACCAAGGGCCCTTCCGCTTACAGATCCTGCAAAACTCAGCTGAAATCGCAGAGCAAAAAGCCCTCAGCAAAGCGTTACTCACTCACCCAAGGCCACAAAGAAGGTTAACAGGAATCTTGTTCAAGTTGTGAATAAAAACAACGAGCCTGATCTGCTCCCAAAATACCCAGCTACAATAGCCTCGCAGGTGCTTACCCCTCCTTTCTGCTGCAGGAGGAAAATAAAAAGCCCTTTACAAGCAGCCGGATCAAAAATAAGTGCATTAAGCTTTCATTGAGGAGAAAAGGACAAATGTCTCTGAACTACAAATGCTATGAATTACGACTGGATGTCAAGAGCAGACATGCTTCTAGACTAAATTGGCTTCAGTTGGAATTCTCTCTCAAAATGAGTGAAGTTTTGGGAAAAAAACGACTGGAGTCAGCAAGATGCAACAGGTCCCCGACAGAGAGATGGACATACTGCAAACCACAGGCAGAAGGAACAGCACAAGGAGCTAAAAAAGATTTTTTTACACAGTATTGGCTCTTTGCAGCATCCATGGCAGTAAGCATCCCTATGAGAGCATGAAAAACAATGGAGGTGAAGGAAAGCACAACCCAGGACTGCTTCCCTTCCACCGGCGAGCCCCTCGTTAGTGTAATGACCAGCTCCTCTCCTCACCCAGCCCTACTGCCTTACCTACAGTCATGCAGCTCGATATCCAAATGCACTCTGCAGCCATCAAAGTGGCATCTTGTGCCAACCACAGGCCAGCAGTTCCCTGGATTTTGGCTAAGCCCAAGAAAAAGCCCATAAGGAAAACCAAATACATATATAATTTTTTTTTAATGCACCTATATCTACTGCATATATTTAATATGTATATATTGCATACATGCATATTTAATACATATACATATATTGAAGTCACTGCAGCCTCTGGGCAGAACAGGCTTTTCCTGACCCAGCAGTTGTGCCGCTGCCACGCAGGAGTCAGGCGAGGGCAGGGGCCAGAGGAGACCTTTTAAAACAGGAAAGTTTCA